GTAATATAATTTAGTTTGATTAGTTTATAATTGATTAGAGAATTGTTATATGATATTGAAACTAATTGATTTCAATAATTATGAATCTAAACATTCACCCCCTGTAATATAATTTAAATTTAGATTGATTAGTTTATAATTGATAAAGCATTGATTCCAATAGTGAATCTAAATACTTACTTGCTGTTATATAATTGATATGATTTATTTATAATTGATTTGAAATTAATATATGATATTGAATTAAATTAAGACGTTGGTTTCTATAAATGTGAATTTAAAATACTCACAAACTGCAATATTATTTATATTGATTAGTTTATAATTGATTTATATAAATAGGAGCATCGATTTCGATTATTATGAATCTAAATACTCACAAACTGTAATATAATTTATATTGATTAGTTTATGATTAATTAGAGAATTGTTATATTGATTTCAATAATTATGAATCAAAATACTTACTCCCTGCAATATAGCAATATAATTTAGATTAATTAGTATATAATTGATTAGAGAATTTTTATATAATTATGAATCAATACTCACTTGCTGTAATATAATTTAGATTAAATTAGAGAATTGTTATTTGATATTTAAACTTTGATTTCAATTATTGTGAATCTAAATACTCACACCCTGTAATATAATTTATATTGATTAGAGAATTGAATTGTCATATGATAATGAAGCATTTATTTTAGTATGAATCAAATACTCACAGACTATAATTTATATTAATTAGTCTAATGATTAGAGAATTGTTATATGATATTAAAACATTGATTTCAATAATTATGAATCTAATACTCACGGACTGTAATATAAATATATTGAACAGTTTATAATTGATTATAGAATTGTTATATGATATTGAAACATCGCATTGATTTCAATAATTATTAGTCAAAATACTCACTTGCTGTTTTATAATTTGGATTGATTAGAGAAATGATATTAAACATTGATTTCAATAATTATAAATCTAAAAACTCACTCCCTGTAATATTATTTGGATTGATTGATTAGAGAATTGTTATATGATTTTGAAAACATTGATTTCAATAATTATGAATCTAAACACTGACATCCTGTAATATAATTTATATTGATTAGTTTATAATAGATTATATGATGTTGAAACACCGTTATTAACCTAAATACTCACACTCTGTAATATAATTTAGGTTGATTAGAGAATTGTTATATGATACTGAAACATTAGTTTCTATAATTATGAATCTAAATACTCACGCCCTGTAATATAATTTAGATGGATTGGTTAATAATTGATTATAGAATTGTTATATGATATTGAAAACATTGATATTAATAATTATATATCTAAATACTCACATCCTGCAATATAATTAAGATTGATTAGTTTATAATTGATTAGAGAATTGTTAAATTTAAACATTGATTTCAATAATTGTGAATCAAATACTCACGCCCTGTAAAATAATTTATATTGTTTTAAATTGATTGGAGAATTGTTATATGATATTGAAAGAGTTTATTTCACTAATTATGAATCTAATACTCACGTCCTGTAATATAATTGAGGTTGATTAGTTTAGTTTACAATTGATTAGAGAATCATTATATTGAAAAATTGATTTCAACTATTTTGAATCTATATACTCACACCCTGTAATATGATATGATTTATTTTGATTGGAGAATTTTTTTATGATATTGGAACATTGATTTCAATATTTATAAATCTAAATGATTTCAATAATTATGAATCTAAATACTCACTCGCTGTAATAATAATTTATATTAGTTATAACTGATAAGAGAATTGTTATAGGATATTGAACATTGATTTCAATAATAATGAATCTAAATATTTACAAACTGTAATATAAATTATATTGATTAGTTATAATTGATATTGATTTCAATAATTGTGAATCTAAATACCCACGAACTGTAATACGAATTATATTTATTAGTTTATAATTGATTAGAAATGTAATATAATATGTGTAATTTATCATTAGCAATAATTATGCCTACTCTTCAGATTCTCTCGATTCTCCCGATTCTTCTAATTCTTTTGTTTTTCCTGTATCTTTCATTTCTTCCAAACTTCTTTCTTCTTTCATTTCTTTCATTTCTCCGATTTCTTTACTTTCTTTAACTTCTTCCATTTCTTCTCTTCGATTTCTTTAAAATCTAAAAAAGAAAATAGCACATCACATTATCGGATTAAATAAATTCCGTTTGAATGCAGTTGTACAAGTATCGTCAAAATGATCATTTTGTTTGTCAACGAAACGTGTGACTAAAAATAATTGCTACTTATTATGGTATATTTATTATTTTCCATTTGCAAGAATCCAGTAGTTATTCTTCTTTTTTAAATGTTCATTCTTTTGTTTCATGCATCAATAGAAGAAGAAAACTTTCGCTCGATTCATTTCACTTGTTGTCTTTTCCCTTTTACTCATTCTAATCTCTTCTAATTTAAAATAGTTATTAATATTATGTTTCTTTTTGAAAAAAAATAAATCATCCAATCAATTCATTGAGTAAAGAAGGATTTCATCCAACGCACGTTATTTATTTATTTATTTATTTTATAATAATAAAAAAACAATTTGCGCAAATTAAATACCTCTCATTAGAGTGAATCAATGAATATATATGCAAAAGCTTAACTTTTTATACGTTTCCTTACTATTGATTTAACAGTAATATTCGTACAGAAGTCAAGAAAATTTTTAAATTTTATTTTTTTTACCGTAAAAAAAATCTAAAAAGGAAATCATGCGAATGTCGTGAAAAATCAAACAATATGATAACCAAAAGGAAAATTAAGATTGTAACGAGACGAGAATAACAATAATAAACAACAAAAATAAAAACAAAATCGCATAAATAACAAAATAACAAAAATAAACAAAAAACAGCAACAAAATCAATAAAATTCAACATAAATCAAGGATACATAGAGGAATTGACGTGATACTCGTATTATCTCTGGGAGAACTATTTTCAGAAAAAAAAAATTAAAATAAGATATACAAGACTTAAGAATTATTAAAAAAAAAATAATAACTTTAAATAATAATACATAATAATAATGATAAAAATAAAAATAAAGGTTTATTTTGAATTTAATAAACAAATCAGCTAATTGTTAAAGCAACATTATTAGAAGAATTGGAAGAATCAAAGAACATCATGAGAATGATTGTCACGATTGTGATGAACATCCTTATTATTGATGTTTTTGTTATGATATGGGTCAAAATATTGTTCTTTGATAATGTTTTTGATGAAGTTCTCGATAATGTTCTCTCTCAGGATCAAAATATTTTTGTTGTTGTTAGAATTTATTATTATTATATTGGACAATTCTCTTCTGACATTGTTCTACGAACGTGCATAATATTTGTGCCAAAAATGGTGTGACGCAAATAAAGCCTTCTAAAATTTCTCCTTTTATAGCTTTTTATTATGTAAATGAAGAATTTGTTTATGTTTACTTGACAACGTATTTTAGTTACGTAAAATCATTTTCACTTTATTTTTCAGAATCATAGATCCCGCCTACCTATATATAAAAATGTTTTCGTTAGGCTCTATAATATTTGTAATTACGTTGTTAGTTGATCCAACTTTATGTTATATACCCGAATCTCGAATTGCTCATAGTAGTTTAGTAATTCAGAATGGCCTTTTAGTATTTTTTGGATGGAAACTTTCTTCAAATTTTACAAACAAGTTACCGATGAAATATTTTATTTAAATTTGACACAGCAATTTGATGTTGCTAATCCTTCGTGGGAATTAGTCCTAGGAGGAAACCTTCCAGTATACACATATTTTTCAGCTTCTTTTGTTAGTACACTCGATGATGATATAATTTATTTAATCGGAGGTTACATGAAAAACATAGTTACCGGAGAAAATGGTTATTCGCACTTAGTATATATGTATGATTATTCCTCACATAAATGGACTGCAATAAACGTTGGTAATGTTACTCCCAGACAGGAAATAGTGGCGATAATCAATGATAAAGGGATTGTATATATTTTTGGCGGTTTTAATGTTACAAATGATACAACATTTGAAAGAACGATTTATAATGATATGCGAATATTTAATGTTTCCTCAATGGAATTGTCATCATTAAGTATAACTCAGAATCTTCCTTCACCGCGTAGCTCATATACAGCCAATCTCTTGAAAAATGGAATTATTGTTTATATTGGCGGGGTTGAGAATAGTCAAGAAATTGATTCAAGCCTTCCTTATCAATTAGTAAGCATTAACATTGTAAGTAAGTAAATGGTAAATTATTTGCGCACAATATCAAATAGAAAGGTTATTATAATTATTTTTATGTTAATCGAAACAGATAATACTCTTCGATACCATAAAAGCAGAATGGTCATATATGGTACGTGGAATAATAATAAAGTAAATTCTAAAATTATTTATTTGATTTTAAATTAATGACTCTTTTTTAATTTAAGAATGCTACTGGTGGAGATAATGTGGATTCAAGATTTTGGCATTCTGCTGTATTAAGTAAATCGTAAGATTATTTATAATACCTTAATCAAGAATCTTTAGGAATCATCATTCAAATCAAAATATCTATGCAGATTCAAGAGGGGAAATTATTTTATTTGGAGGTTGTTTGGCGAATTTATCCCATGTTAATACAAATCTCGCAATATTAAACACAACCAAGGATATTTATGAATGGACAACCCCATCATTACCTAATTCACCTCCACATTTATTTGGGCACAGTGCAGATATACATGGAAATTATATGATGATTACATTCGGTAAATTAAATTTTTTATTAAATTTTTTATTTATTTAATATATACAGTATGTATATTAATAATTATTTTTATTAAATTCATTTTCTAGGATATGATCTGGATAATTCAGTAATGAATTCTCGAATATATCTTTTTGATGTAAACCAATATACATGGGTCACAACTTATACTCCTCCCCCTATGCCCACTCCCACTAAGAATGGTGCGTCCAAAAAAATATCGAAAGCTTTAGCAATTGGATTAGGAGTAGGAGGTGGGGTCCTTCTTATCCTTCTAGTTTCTATGGGAGTTATCTTTTTCAAGAGACACAATATGAAATCAAACACGCATATTCTTGAGATACCTTCATCATCTGATATTTAAAAGCTGATGGTATCTGTAGTGATCATTCCTATCACGCGATTTATACATTTACGTTATCTTTATGCCTTTTTATCAAATTTGTACAAAAAAAATTCGGCAATATTTAAACTGAGATATATTTATGAAATGTAACAGGAATTATCCTGCTAAAATCACATGATATTTATATGTAATAATCTCACACGAAATTTTAAATAATATTGTCACTGTCTGTGCAGAACGATGCGGAAAGTTACGTCAAATTTATTACACAACAAAAATATCTCTATCAATATTCTCACGTAGTAAGAATCAGGATCTCAAATGCTTACTAACAATCACGATTTATTTAGCTACATGTAATATCTGAAGGTACGATGAGCAAGTGGAGTAAAAATATCTTTATTACCGCTTACACACTGCCAAAACTGAACAGACTTTTGATGTAACTTGCCAAGAAATAAAAGAATAGTTTATTAAATTTTTTTTCTTGCCTGCAGCTATCTTATATCTTACCATTTATTTACCTTCATCATCATCATCCATAATCACGGGGATGAATAAACAGTTATCTTGGATGAAGGATGAAGCACAAGGATAATTCATCCAAATAGTGACACATATCATCTCCCGTGATTTCGGTTAGTTTCCTGCCATCTCAATATAACTTTATTGATAGCTGTAATAATATTTTAACGACATATTACAATGTAAAAGGCTGGCCTATAATAGAGTCTTGTAAAGAGGGAGGAATAAAGCATGCAACCATGCCTTCCAGGTTCTTAGGCCCTTTACAATGTAAAGAAATAGCAGTTCCTTTCCTATTCCATTTAATCTACCCAGTAGAACTATTACAACGGGTGTTTCTATTATAAAAATTTTTAACTGTTGCTTGACTAATATTCCCTCCAAGATCACTGATAAGTATTGCTACCATAATATGATTTCATCAAAAGTGACGATCGAGTGGAAGATGATGAATGAGCAGGAGGGAGATGATGAGGCTTTGTTGATCGGATACTCTCCTATTCATGCATATCGTTGATTGATTTCATTTTGGAGTGATGTGCTGATTGATTCGATCTCGGACGAAATTTTACCGAAATCAATATGGTATTGTTATAGAGTTCACTAATTCTTGTGGACATATCATTAATCATAGAAATAATATTCTGTGCTTCCGGCATCACGGGAATTTATTTTGTTGTTGCTCTCAGTGATAATAGTATTAATCTTGGTTGACACGATTATTTGTTTACCGGCGATTTTTTGGCACAAAAAAGAACCTCATGTCAATGAGTTCACGCACAAAGGGATATCTTCGCAACGTTAAAAAATAAAGAAGCTATTAAAGCCATAGAAGGGATATTTTCCGAGACGTTAAATGAATACATCTATTAAAAGAAAAATCTGATTAGAATATTGATCAATTGTGTGGCGCACGGACATTCAATCACAAGCGAAGATACCTATTGCAGAGCATGAAACTTCGTAAATTGGTTTATTTTATTTTGGAGAAATGACGTATAATGAAAATTTGTTTCTCGCATCAATACAATTAATAAAAATTTTACAGACGCTTTATTATTTTTGAATTTGTAGAAAGGCAGGGGCGGCGAAAAATTCATATCTTTTATAGAACCCGCGCCAATTATCATTTATTTGTGTAAAAAAACTGGAAATTTCTATAAATTATACGTATGTATTGTATTGTATCGCAATAATGCGCATATAAATTTTTCGGTATATTTTTATTGAAACAACAAATTTATTCATATGTTTTCCAGCTATTTTTAAAAATTTCATTTATTTTATTTTATTTATTTTTATATTTTATATTTTTTTTTACAAAATATTATTCAAAAATCTAAAAAATAATAATTATTATTATTATATCTTTATATATAAAAAAAAATTTGAAAAATTGTAACGAGACGAGAATAACAAAAATAAATGCATCAAAAACATCAAAAAATAAAAAAAACAACAAAGTTCAATAAAATTCAACAAAATTCAAGGTATGAACCAGTCATTGAACATATAAATGTTAATAACAAAGCCGATAAATTCAATACAGAGGAAATTGACATGATACTTGTATAGAATTATTTTTTTAAAAAAAATAAGACATACGAGATTATTAGTTAAAAAACTTTTGTAAGAAATTCATAATAATTAACAATGATAAAAAATAAAAAATAAAAAAAAATAAAAATGAATTTTTAATAGTCAAATCAGCTAATTGTTCGTGGAAGAATTAGGAGAAGATGAAGAACAACAACTTGAATAATTTATCATAGGCGAGTATGGGAATTGATAACGATGATCGTCATGATTGTAATGAGCATTATGATTATTGTTATCTTTGTTATGATATGATAACGCTTTCGATAATGTTCTCTCTCAAGATCAAAATATTTTTTGTTGTTAAGTTGTTAAAGTTTATTCTTATTGGCGTTGAGATAAATAATTCTCTTCTGGTAACATGACACTGCATACGTACATAATATTTGTGTCAAAACTGGCGTGATTTTCCTATTGACTTTTTATGTTGTTTACTTGACAACGTATTTTAGTTATTTTTCAGAATTATAGGTTCCTACCTACTTATATATAAAAATTTTTTTTGAAATTCTTTGTATTACGTTGTTAATTAATCCAACTTTATGTTATATACCCGATTCTCGAATTGCTCATAGTAGTTTAGTAATTCAGAATAGCCTTTTAGTATTTGGTGGATGGAAAATTTCTTTAAATACCTCAAAATACCACAAAAACGTATACCAGTGAAATATTTTATTTAAATTTGACACAGCAATTTGATGTTGCTAATCCTTCGTGGGAATTGATCCAAGGAGGCAACCTTCCAGTATACAATATTTTTCAGCTTCTTTTGTTAGTACACTCGATGATAATATAGTTTATTTAATCGGAGGTTACATGAAAAACATAATTACTGGAGAAAATGATTATTCGCACTTAGTATATATGTATGATTATTCCTCACATAAATGGACTGCAATAAACGTTGGTAATGTTACTCCCAGACAGGAAATAGTGGCGATAATCAATGATAAAGGGATTGTATATATTTTTGGCGGTTTTAATGTTACAAATGATACAACATTTGAAAGAACGATTTATAATGATATGCGAATATTTAATGTTTCCTCAATGGAATTGTCATCATTAAGTATAACTCAGAATCTTCCTTCACCGCGTAGCTCATATACAGCCAATCTCTTGAAAAATGGAATTATTGTTTATATTGGCGGGCTTGAGTATAGTCAAGAAATTGATTCAAGTCTTCCTTATCAATTAGTAAACATTAACAATGTAAGTAGATAAATAGTAAATTATTTGCGCACAATATCAAATAGAAAGTTTATTATAATTATTTTTAGGTTAATCGAAACAGATAACACTCTTCGATAGCATAAAAGCAGAATGGTCATATATGGTACGTGGAATAATAATGAAGTAAATTATAAATTATATATTTGATTTTAAATCAATTACTCTTTTTTAATTTAAGAATGCTACTGGTGGAGATAATGTGGATTCAAGATTTTGGCATTCTGCTGTATTAAGTAAGTAAATTGTAAGATTATTTATAATATCATAATCAAGAATCTTTAGGAATCATCATTCAAATCAAAATATTTATGCAGATTCAAGAGGGGAAATTATTTTATTTGGAGGTTGTTTGGCGAATCAATCCCGTAATAATACAAAATTCGCAATATTAAACACAACCAAGGATATTTATGAATGGACAACTCCATCATTACCTAATTCACCTCCACTCTTATATGGGCACAATGCAAATTTACATGGAAATTATATGATGATTACATTTGGTAAATTAAATTTATTATGAAATTTTTATTTATTTAATAATATGTATATTATTATTAATCATTTTTATTAAATTCATTTTCTAGGATATGATATGAATAAATCGGAAATGAATTCTCAAATATATCTTTTTGATGTAAACCAATATACATGGGTTACAACTTACACTCCTCCTCCTGTGCCTCCTGCGTCCAAGAAACCATCGAAAGCTTTAGCAATCGGATTAGGAGTAGGAGGTGGGGTCGTTCTTATTTTTCTAGTTTCTATGGGAGTTATCTTTTTCAAGAGACGCAATACGAAATCAAAAACGCGTATTCTTGAAATGCCTTCATCATCAGATATTTAAAATTATTCATACCCTTAACTTATACATTACGTTATCTTTATATCTTTTTATCAAATCCATAAAAAAAAATTAGTCATTAAGCAATATTTGAAATACTGAGATAGTGAATTTTGATATTAGATCGTAAATTAGATTAGCGAAAAGTTGTTTGGTGGAAATATTTGGATAAAGAAATGTTAATAACCTAAGTTTTAAAGGTATATCTAAGAAGATGAAATAAAAATTTTTATAATATGCTATATTCATGGCGTAATACGATAAATATATTTCTTTGTGTAGAACTAAGAATGAATTAGAAAAAACTTCATAATCATTTAATAAGGATCTTAATTAATTCTAAATAATTAAAATATGCAATATAAATATTTCTTTCCTTCAAAAGTACTGTAAATAATATTAATTTATTATATTAAATATATTTTTGTAAATAAAAATCATCTATAAAAATTGTACCAATTTTTTCTCTAATTGATTTTTTATAGTTACTGTATCACCACCGTAGTCATAAATTCAAATGATATCATTATCAAAATTTGGGATTATTATAAATGGCTTTATTTAAAACTTTTACACGACTAAGAATGGAATTTTTGATATTTCCATTTTTCGGAGAAAAAAATAAAACTGTGATTAGTTTCAGGAATATTCATGTTTCAAATTAAAATTCCAATCGATAGGATTGTAACCACCAATAATCTCATCAGTGCTTTTAACTTCGCAATGACAACCACATTCGTTTTTCGGTACATAAATTCCACAATATTCCGGGTTCAAATCCGTCTCCGCTTCCACGAAGGATAAAATTAAATTCACATGGATTATTATTAAACACAATTTTAGTTTTTTCTTATTCTTTCGTAATAATTGATAATGCAACTTGGGAAGTAAATATTTCTATTTCACGAGGTGGTAAAATTTTTGAGGTGATAGGTTTTGTTTGGAGCCATGGAATATTTTAAAAATATCACCCCATAATTGTTTATCAAGAATTTGCTGATACGATATACTTTTTCTATAATGTTTTCGCTGTAAATTTGAAAATATCGTTGTAAAGCTTTTTTAAGAATTTGAAGATCCTTCCCATTTTCTAAAAGTTTGATAAAATCAACAAAAAAATTTAAAGCCATATTTGAAAGAAATATGAAAAGTGTTGAAGAATACGGTTAGAAAAATAAAAGAAATATTAATTTAATTGTTATTGTTTTAGCACACAATATTAATATAAATAAAAATAAATAATAAACTTTATATATAATTTGGCTTGCTTAAATAATTTGATGAAAAACAATTTACATAACATATATATATTTATATATTTCTGTTCTCTCTTTTGTGACTAAAAGATTTGGAAGATACTTTTATCAATACATAATGTTAAGATCAAAAATGTGCAGTGATGCAATCTGCTGCTAATATCTGTGGTTTTTTAAAAAGCCACATCATAATTTTGATCGTAATTATCAACATATTTTTTATTTTTTTTTTTTTAAATTTTTTATTATTTGGTAAGAATAAAATATAATATAAAAGAAACTTATATAAAAATCGTTTTGACTATTAAAAAGAATCATTCTAAACTTTTTTATTCATCGTTATTCTTCTTAAAAGAACGTAGCCTAAACTAATTGCGGTAAATTTCTAATTGATTTTTATTGGGTAAAGATGAATTTATGAAAATCGATCAGTGGCTTGGCTAAACTTTTTTTTTCAAACAAATAACAAAAAGTCACAATTTATTATATACATATACATATATAATAAAATACGATGCGATAATGATAAGGTTTTCTTATAATTTTTTTTTTATCATTTAAGCGGTCAAAATGTCAATTCACGATAAAACTCCTAATGAAGAGCAAGGTCTTTATTCAAGTTGGGCATTATTGATACAAACGAGTTTACTTATACTAGCATTATGGACCAGTTATTATTTACAAGTTAAACAAATTCGTGCTATACATGAAACTGTAGTATCAATATTTGCTGGTTCGTATAATTTTCAATTCTTATAAAGTTTTTTTTTTTTTAAAAAAAAAAAAAATGTAATTAATTCAATTTGAAATTTATCTAGGAATGTTTGTTGGATTGATTATCAGACTTTCACCAGGATCAATGATTCAGAAGATGGTCACTTTTCACCCTTCCTATTTTTTTAATCTTTTATTACCACCAATCATATTGAATTCTGGTTATGAAATGAAAAAAGTAATTTCTTAATTTTTTTTTTTCTTTAAGGATTGAATTATTTCTTTAATTATTTACATAATTATTATTTCATTAATTATTCGTTAATTATTTCATTATTAGGAAAACTTTTTTAAAAATTTAGGAACAATTCTTACTTTTGCTCTCGTGGGTACATTTATTTCAGCCATTGTTATCGGGTATTTAATTAATTTTTATTCGTATCAATTAACTTTAATAATTAGTCACAATTAAAACAATTTGATGAAATATTAATAAGGAATATTTATTTATTTATTTTTTTATAGAATTTTGACTGCAATATTATCATTGACTGGAATTGATTCACTTTCACTTTCATTTTTGGATTCAATGATTTTTGGATCAGTTCTATCCGCAACAGATCCGGTGACAGTTTTAGCAATATTTCAAAGTTTAAAAGTTGATCCTCGATTATATTCGATAATTTTTGGAGAGAGCATTTTAAATGATGCTACTGCTATCGTACTTTATGAGTAAATAGTATAATTTTAAATTATTTATTATTTTTATTATTATTAGTATTTTTTTTATTATCCTTAATTTAACTATTTAATTTAATTATTTAATTTAAGGACATTAAAACAATATCGCGGTCAATCTTTTCATCTTTACAATATCATCCAGGGTATTCTTTATTTCTTGTTCAACTTTGGATGTTCTTTAATTATGGGTGTACTCTTTGGAATTGGTTGTGCATTGATATCCTTTTAATTATCTATAATATTTATATATTATATTCTTTATTATATCTTGTTATATGATTGATTGTTATATATTTTTAATTATCAGTATAATTCCTTAATTACTAATTTACATGTTAAAGTATTCTCAATTGTACAAGTTTCCAGCAATTGAGTCGTGCCTCATTGCCTTAATTGCTTATTCATCTTATTTATTCTCTAATGGATGTCAATTGTCTGGTATGTATTATTATTTAATAATTATGATTATTTAATTAATTATGATTAATTAATATTATTTAATTAATTATGATTATTTAATTATTTTATTATTATGATTAATTTAATTATTATTATTTTATCAATTAATTAATAATTATAATTAATATTTATTATTGATTGATAATTCTTCTTAAATTTAGGTATTGTGTCTTTGTTATTTTGTGGAATTACATTAAAACATTACGCCTACGATAATATGGCACTTAGAACTAAGAGAACAACAAAATATATGTTTCACGTCTTTTCTAAATTATCCGAGAATTTTATTTATATTTATCTTGGACTCACTTTATTTACAAAGACTGATCTTGAATATAAACCATTCTTTATTTTCTTCACTGCGGTAAGTTAACCCATTTTATTATTATCATTTTATCATTTTTTATTATCATTTTTATTATCATTTTTATTATTATTATTATTATTAAAAACTATTCTGTTATTCTGTATAGATTTTCATGTGCGTATCACGTTATTGTGCCGTTTTTCCACTTTCAAATATTTTAAATACTATTGCACGTTATCGAAAACGTACCGAAACACTTTCTCATTCTCACTCGGTAATGCTTTTTTGGTGTGGTAAGCGTATTAAATTTATTAATTGTTTAATTTTATAAATAAAAATTAAATAATTAAATAAATAAATAAAAATAAATAAAATTAAAATAATTAAATCTAATAAATACCAATATTTATAACATTTATAATATTAAAGGATTACGTGGTGCTGTTGCATTCGCATTGGCAGCTGGACTTCAAGGAGATAATGCAAGTGCAATGAGAACAACAATTTTAGTTGTAGTAGTTCTTAGTGTAATCGTATTTGGTGGAACCACCAGTCGAATGTTAGAAATTCTTAAAATAGAGACAGGTGTAGAAGATCAAGAAAATGATAGTGGTGATGAAGGTGCTCGTCATAATGAATATGAAGGAAGTAATGAATATGGTCACTCGAGATCTAATTCTGAAGGTTCAATCGAATCTAATGGAACCGGAAGTTCGAATAATGCAGAACATCATAATTTATTATCTAGAGCCACTCCACCAATTGTTTCTTCTTCAAGTCGTCAAACTCATTGGTTCATATCATTCGATGATCGATTCCTTAAACCTTTATTTACTCGACAAAATAATGTTAAAAAACATATTGATGAAGGATGGAGAAATGTTGATAGAAGGCAACAACGTCGTGTTGGTGGTGGTGGTGGTGGTGGTGGTGGTGGTGATGAAGATTATATTGTTGTATTAAATAGTAGTACTAGTCATAATAATATTCCTGAAAATACGAAACATACTCGTGATTATTTGAATAATAATAATAATAATGTGAATAACATAAATAATATTAATTCTAATAATATTATTATTAATAATGATAATAATAGTATAATCGATTTAGAAGGAGATAATCATAGCAATATTTCATTAAATGTAAATGTTACAGATAATATTAATAATGAGGCGGAAACATTTCAAAGTTTTACAGATCTTAGTGTTCTCATAAAACGAAAAGATGATGATGATGAGATTATGAATGATAAAGATTCACAACCATTAGTAAATCTTAAAGATTTTTCTAATTAAGAAAAAAATAATAATAATCATCTTTATAGAATAATATTTACTATATGCGAGTTTATATAATATGCCATTATTTATATTATTGTATAAATAGAAAATTCAGAAATTAATTAGATTTTAATTTATTATCTCCTTTTAAATTTCTTGATTTATGTAGATAGGATAGACAGAGAAAAAGTGATTCTTATTATTATTATTTAAATGACGTTTATTTTTTTTCCTAAATATAAGATAAATAAATATTGAGTAAATTTGTCACTGAAAATCGCATAAATTTATGTTCCATTTTTTGTTAATTGCTAATCCGCCTATGAAAGAGAATGGGAAATTTTGAACTATGCAAATTGTGGATGAAATTCATAATAATCATTAAATTTAGATTATTTATTTAATATGTAACATCAAAAAAATAGGATTTTTGAGCTGTTCGCATATAAAAAAGAATTTAAAAAATATAATTTACAGATATAATGTAGTATAAAAATTTTAATATAAAAAAAAATTTATTTATGCTGTTTATATATATATATATAAATTAGCAATATTTGATTTTCGATTTTCACTATTAAAATATTTTATCAATATATGCACATTTTTGAAAAGCTTGATTATGTCTAACCTAACTTTTTAACTTCCCAATATATCAATTTATAAATATTTAATAGTTAAGTAATATATCATTTGGCTAGTTCAAAAATGTATTAACATATCCCCAAATTTCATTCTCTTTCATACACGAACTGCCAATTAATCCCTTTTCTTTTTTTCTTATTTTTCTTTACCCTTTTCGACTTTCAATAAATTGCAAAAGTAAAAATGTCTTTAAAATTTTTTGGCAAGTTATCTCAAAACTTTATTGAACTTCTTAAAGATAAAGATGATTATAATGTCATCATTAAAGTTGAAAATACAGATAAATCATTTACGGCACATATTAAAATATCGATCTACTTATTTCCGTAATGAGTTAGAAAATAATATTAATATCATTACTAAGTCAAGTGTTTCTGCTGAAATTTTTTGATGTTATAATCAATAATAAATATATTATTTGCCTATATTTTATTATTGTTATTATTTTATAAATATACTTTTTAATTATTATACAGTAAATGTATTCATGGAGGAATCGTTAATTTGGAGAACGTTGAAACCAGATTCATTTTTTGATTTAATGTTAGCTACTAATGAATTTGAGCTTGATGAATTATCCAAAAAATTAAAAACTCATCTCATTGATTCTAAATATTCTTAGTTAAAAACATATTTTTCTCTTTTTTATCGTATTATTTTTAACGAAAACAATTTTAAAAATTTTGTAATGATTCTCTTTCCGAATCCGCCTTGGTATCTCTTCTCAAGCGAGATGATTTGCAAATGGAAGAAGTTAAAGTTTGGATTATATCATCAAATGGGGAATTGCTCAAAATCCTAATCTCCCTATAAACTTTGAATAATGGTCCAGGGAAATTTTCTTACATTAAAAATCATTTTACAGCAATGTCTACCACTTGTTCGTTACTTTCATATTTCAAATACTGAAATTATTGATAAAGTTATGATAGACAACTTTGTACAGCATATGGCAATCAGTAAAATACTAGCAAGATCAGTTTTGGTTACGCAATTATCTCCTCGTCCAATAGAACCTTTTTCAATCATTTCGAAGAGCATGCTACAGAAATTTCAACCTGGATTGATTGATCGAGAAACAACTACTTATTCAATAGCGAATATTCCATATAAATTTGAATTAATTTTAAGTGTAACTAGAGACTATTTGCTCCACAAATATTTTGGGGTATTTGCCATGGTCATACTAAAGCTGTTGTAGTAGTAAAAGTTAAAGGACCGATGAGATACTTGGAGGTTATAATCCTTTAGCTTGGGATAATACTTGTAATGGCCCACAGATGGGTGATTGGATGAAAACAAAAGATAGTTTCATTTTCTCACTAAAAAAATGGTATGTTAGTGTTCAAAATTCAAATCTTAGCAGAGTAAAATACAATTTGGTATACATTCAAAAGTTTTCAAAATCAGACTGGTCCAAGTTTCGGGTGATTTTTGCTTACGTAGTTAAGCATTTTAGATAATTGAAATTACTGTAATAGAATTGAGGTAATTATTATGAAAAACTATAAGAATATCATCAAATAACTTTTCTATTGTTAATATTGTTAATTATGAAATGCCTAGAAATTTGACTATAATTTTATTATTTTTTTTATATATTAATAAAATATTTACATTTATTAATATGCATTTTGACCTTTATTTTAAAATATTTCCATGTATTCATAAGTTAGTTTTAAGAAAAATCATTCTTTTCACGTTTCTTTGCAGGCGTGGCACGCAATATTATTAAATTTTTACTAATGTCTGATATTGTATTGTATTTTCTCAACAGTTTTCTTTTTAATGCGCACATTCAACAACGTAACACGCGAAAATTTCAAAGTCATCATCGTATCCTAAATGCAAATATATGTGATAGATTTTTATTTATTTATTCATTTATTTTTCATATTGAATTCACATTCTTTACAAATGGTATAAAATCGGAATACACTGATAAAAAATTCTTTATTCAATATTAATTCATCTAATTCAATTGAAAAAGATTACCTTTCATTAATTTCCTTCAATTTAACACCTTTACTTTTTTATTTTCATTATTCATTTAATTCTTACCAATGATTTAGATTTTAGGCAAGGATCTTTAAATTGACTCGATTAATTATTCTTTAAATCACTGTTTTTTGTTGACATCATGCCAGTTATTATTTGGAATTTTAGATTAGATACAATAAGAATTACCTAGATAAAGTTTAAGATATGGTTGGTACATTATAATTATAATAATTAATATGATATAATATTAATTTTTTTATCTTACATACACTACCCAATTTTAGAGGTCAAATTATTATGACGGTCAATAAACATAATATTCATTTTGATTGGTTGATTGCAAATATGGTAATTATGATAAACAGTAATACATAGTAATGTGACGTGATTATGTCTTACTATCCTGCAACCAATATTCTAAAAATAATACTATTTATACGTATACTATTATTAAAGAAGGATTCTATCTTTCAAACAATATGCTTAAACATATTTTTTCTCGTTCTAGTGATAACATTTAGTATAAATTGCCTGACGAATATTTAATTCATGCAAATTGGAGCCGAGGAAAATCAAAACATACAATAAAATGTGAAATCAATTACAATTGATACACTTCCAATTTTCAAAATTTGATTCGGAGATGGGTTTCAGACTTGTATAGAATCCACAAAGTCAGCAACAGATATAACTAATAAGTATTTACATGTAAATTCTCTTCTAATATTTATTGTATATTATATATAAAAAAATTGGGTATTATATATATAAAATTGTATATAAAAATTAAATAAAAGTTAAATTTTTGTACAGATGAAAAATTCTAATTCTAATACAAAGCAAGACTTTCTGGCATTCATGTATTTGGTTTAAATAGTCAAGATTTAGAAAGAGAATGTGTAAGAAATATCAATCTCATTTTCTCAACCCATTTAATATGCTTGGTAATATGATGAAAATTAAGTGAGTATGTAAATTTGGTGAACATAAATCTAGAGATTTAGAAAAAGAAAACAAAAAGAATGAAGCATTTACTAAAGTAAGTGATCAAGGACCAATCGCACGAGATTCTTACTGAAGTCTGACTGCACTTTTAACTGAACTCCCAAGTGAAAATGCTATTTATAAAGCTAAAAAAAGGATAAATAAAGAAATGTGGAAATGCCATTTATACAGTTAAAAAAGGATATATGAAGAAATGGAAATAAAAATTCATATTTCAATTTTAAATATCTCAGATATTTCATCATTTACTTTAATTAATGAAGATTCAAATATTAATAATTCTGAAGTTGAAGAAGTTTTAAAATATATTGGAAGCTGTATATCATCGTATTACAGACATTTTACTTTATATAATTCCTGGTTTAACAAATAAAAAATTCTTAAATCGATAATTAATTTACATATATCTGGTGATGGACGTAACGTTGGATGAAAATTAAAACAAGTTATGTGTTTGAAATTCAAATTTTTAAATTCTGTGCGGAATATGCACATAATTTAAAACTATATGCTGATGCCTTTCAACCTTGGATGATACTCTTAATCTTCAAAATCTGATTATCATTTTACTGTTATTTTATATCCAGGAAATGAAAATTACAAAATGTTACAAAAACTAATGGAACCAGTGATAAGTGATTTAAGTATACATGGATTAAAAGATTTAACTGGAAAAGTATGGACAATAATACCATACTTTAGTAGTGATTGAAATTTTTGAAATTATTCTTGGTTTTAATTCAGCTAATTCTAAATATTTTTGTCCATGGCGTTTATGTGCAAAGAAAGATATCAGAAATACAAATAAAACTTGGAATATTGAAAAAAATATAGATCAAATTAAGCAGCTTTTTTTAATAATGAGAAAACTCCTCCTGGCCATATTAAGCCTCCATTTCTTACAATGATTTCATTAGAATTAGATCATTATATCCCAGATGAACTTCATATAATGTTAAGAATTTGGATTGATTATGGAATTTGGTAATTCAAGAACTTAAAACTCAAATCAATTCAATGATCTGGCAAGAACAAAAATTATTGATGAAATGTGTAGAATTTCTGTTACACTTTATTTTTGGCAAGAACAAGGAACACAAAATTGGGATTTACATCATCATTAATGGGAGGTGATAAAGAAATTGTTCTGAAAGATTTTAATTTTGAAGTAATTTTGATAAGGATAAGGAAAGAGTTTGTTTAATTAATAAATTATGGCGGGGTTTTTATCAACTTTACAAAAATATAACTCAGAAATTAATTCAATTCAATTTACTAATCAAGCAAAGCAATGGTTAAATTTATTTCTTACACCATCGCAAGGTGTACTAAATACTGTAAATTTAAAATGGGACTTTATAGGCCTACTGATATTATGCCATATATTCATATTTTAGTTAATCATTTACCCGAATTTATAGAACGACATAGATTTGGCTTAAGTGATTTTTCAGTTCTCCCGTGGAAAAAAAACCATTATCAAGTCAAGTATCTACAATTTTTAGAAACAATGAAAGATGGAAGAAAAAAATAGAATTATGGATTACGAAACTGGGCATTATATTTTCTTAAAAAAATATTGTAACAAAAAATCCCAAACCACAGCATATTTATAATAAAAAAAAATTAAAAGATAATGCTCCAATATATTTAGACATCAGTAAAAAGTTATTTTAAAATATCCGTCAATTTTAATAATTCGGGATTAAAACAATATTAATAAATTTATTATTATTGTAAGAAGTATTATTATTTTAATTCTTAATTTATGATTTTCATATTAATCCAATATCTTAATAACCATTACAAAAATCTTCATTATTATTCATTCTTGATTTCAATAATTAATATATAAAGTAGGATATTTGCATAATTTTTATTTCACATCAGATATCTCAAAAACTAATGAAACAATCATCATTATTTCTGATATTAATAAAAATGTGTAAATTGACCCGCAGAACAACTTTGTTATTGCACAATTTGATATTAAAACACTGGTTTTTAAATCATTTATAAACGTGAATCGAATTAATTCATAATTTATAGACTTTATTTAATCTCTATTATATAAAACTTTTATTAAAATAATATGTACAAATGGCATATTTTATTTACATGCATCAATTAATAAATACATTTATTCAAATAAAATTTACGTCCCAATTAGAATTACCAAATAAATCAGATACTTGCGTATATGCATCTGCTCCTTTAAATAAGCACTTGTAATTTCCAGAATGATAATTATAATGATGAATATATCCTTTAAAAACTCAAAAAATAAACCCTCCAAACATGAAAAAAATAGTTTGTCTACCCGATTGAGAAAAATGTTTCAATAATTTGCTTTGAATAATGTAAACAAGATATGCTTTGAAATCGGGTATTGCTTCCGAAGGTAACGTATATAATCTTTATCTTTGTACATTATATTTTTGCACAATATTTTTATGACGCTTTAAGCCCAATTTAGTTTTATATGAGACTTTGTAAATTGCACATTCATATTTTATGGAGTAGATATGATTGTGGTGGATTAAAGATAGTGGAAATATACAAGGAATTTGCTTCAGTGTTCATATTGCTAAAAAAAAATGCAGAATTAGTTAGTTATGAAGCAAAAAAACTTAGTATTTTCAATATTTTTGTTTACTTATATTATTTATATACCAAGACGATTTATTAAAGTGTTAGATATTGGTTAGATGTGGGAACGATTGGCTTGACAATAATAAATGTATATATTGGTGATTTTTTGTATCATCTGACAATAAGGTATCCAATCACCTGATACTTAAAAAAGGGCCCAATTGTAAAAATGCGTGAATATGCTCAACCCTAATTATGGGTTTGTTTATAAAATGTCACCCTCTGCCGATCATAATTTATTATGAACTTCCATAGGTTATGTTTTTTTTTTTTTTTTTATATCCAACGGAGTCTTGACTTCCATAGGTTATGTAATTAATATACATTTCCATAAATTTTTTGTTCTAAAAAATAATTCTTATTTGTAACAGAAAAGAGCATATCTATATGAGTTTACGCATAGCAAAGACATAATAAATTATACTTGATTTTCAATTAACTATCTTGTTTTTTTATGATTTATTATAATATTAAAAGAAAAGTTAAGACATATGAATTACACAGTTTATAATCTGTATAAACAAAAACAATAAATAATTACCAAAATTAGATAAAAAAAAATAATGATTTATTTTAAATGATTACAAACTGGTCTGCTTAAATTTAAATAAAAGCTATACTCTATAATAATTCCAGTGATCAATTAAAATAAAAAGAATAAATAAAAAATAATAATAAATAATAAAGAGAAACCACAAAGTTGTACAATAATATCAAAAACTAAAAAAAAAAATTATAAATTCCTAACAAATTACTATCAATTATTCCGAATTTCATTTTTTTTAACTATGCAAAATATAAAGATTGGAAATTTCACTTAGATAACTTATATAAATCATTAAACAATTGATTAAAAAATATAATACTCAATTATCATTAGGAATTTCAAAGTCCCATTGTTTTGTATCTAAAATAATAATTAATGTAAATATTTTATCATTCATTTATTCTAAAAAATATAGGTAACTTACATGTACAATGTCTACTTGTATATATTTGGATCATATTGAATAAAATTTTGTTTGAATTATTTGCTGCTTTAATTTGTTTTCCAATTTCATCGTTAAAAGAAAAATTAAGAAGTGGATTTATCAATTCATTGGCAGTTGGACGATTGAAAGGTTCAAAATTCCAGCATTTTCCATTAATTCCTTGAGCATTTGAGGAATTTCACACTTAATTTCGGGTATAAGCCCATTGCAAATATCCATTACAAGTTTTGCATTGTGTGGAATATTATAATATGGTGGATAACTAGTTAGAACTTCTAACATAACCATGCCAAAAGAATAAATGTCAGATGCTTGAGTGTATTCTCCTCTACTCAATGTCTCAGGCGCCATGTATGGAATTACACCATAAATTTTTTCTGGATCATTTTCTGTAACTGGCTTGCATAATCCAAATCAGTTATATAACATAAAGATAAAGTTTGACTAACTATATTGCCAGAATGAAAATCTTTATGCATTAAGCCCATTTTATGGATATTTGCAAGTCCATATGCAATATTAAATAAAATCAAATTCTTTTTTGAACAACTTAATTCTTCAAAATTGTTATTCAACAGATTTCGAAGACTGCCATATTCTGCATAATTCAAAACAATCATACATTCATTTTTTGTTGGATTTTTGGTGATGCCATTTATAGCAATTACTCTTTTATCTCGAAATTTAAGTTGATTTTTAATCTAAAATTATTATTAGAATAAATAAAATATATCTATCATATATTTAAAATAATGTAAATATGATGGAATTAATTTTAAATTATATTCAAAAATTGATTTTTATTTGTGGAACTATCAAGACTTTTTAAGCAAACAACTTGATTTAAGGATCTGTTCCAGTTTTTTCCAAGATTTAATATATCCATCAAGCCATTTTGCTTTGCATACTGTGCCAAAACCTCCTTTAGAAAGGTATGTGAAATTCTCAAGTCTGTCAAATGGAATCCACTCAATAATTTCTTGATATCTATTCGCATTTAGTTACATTTTTTGAATAAATTCATCAATTTCTCTATCTTCACTTGTCCATTTATCAAATTGATCTTAAAATCGGTTGACATAGCATGCACTTTTCAAGGGAGCTAAAAAATTATTGGTTGATAATTAACTAAAATAATATTAAATTAAATTGAACTTTTTTCAATAATTATGAATCAAACACTCACTTTCTGAAATTAATTTAGATTGATTAGTGTATAACTGATTAGAGAATTGTTATATTATATCAAAACATTGATTTCAATAATTATGAATCCAAATACTCACACCCTGTAATATAATTTATATTGATTAGTTTATAAATGATTAGAGAATTGTTATATGATATTGAAATATTGATTTCAATAAATATAAATCTAAATACTCACAAACTGTAATATAATTTATATTGATAGGTTTATAATTGATTAGAGAATTGTTATATGGTATCAAAACATTGATTCCAATAATTGTGAATCCTAATACTCACTCCCTGTAATATAATTAGTTTATAATTGATTAGAAAATTGCTATATTATATCAATACATCGATTTCAATAATTATGAATATAAATACTCACTCCCTGTAATTTAATTTATATTGATTGATTTATAATTGATTAGAGAATTCTTATATGATATTGAAACATTGACATTGATTTCAATAATTATGAATCTAAATACTAACTCCCTGTAATTCGAATTATATTGATTAATTTATAATTGATTAGAGAATTGTAATATGATATTGAAACATTGATTTCAATAATTATGAATCTAAATACTCACAAACTATAATATAATTTAGTTTGAATAGTTTATAATTGATTAGAGAATTGTTATATGATATTGAAACATTGATTTTCTATATGATATCAAAACATTAATTTCAATAATTATGAATCTAAATACTAACTTAATTTAGATTGATTAGTTTATAATTGATTAGAGAATTGCTATATATATGATATTGAAACATTGACATTGATTTCAATAATTATGAATCTAAACACTTACAAACTGTAATATAATTTAGATTAGTTGGCTTATAATTGATTATAGAATTGTCATATGTTATTGATTTCAATAATTATGAATCTAAACGCTTACAAACTGTAATATAATATAGATTTGATTGGTTATAATTGACTAGAGAATTGCTATATGATATATCGAAACACTGACTCTAAATACTTACAAACTATAATATAATTTATTTGGTTAGTTTATAATTGATTAGAGAATTATTATAGGATATTGAATTAAATTGAAACATTGATTTCAATAATTATGAGACTAAGTACTCACTTCCTGTAATATAATTTATGTTGATTAGTTTATAATTGATTAGAGAATCATTATACAATATTGAGACATTCATTTCAACAATTATGAATTCAAATATTCACCGACTGTAATATAATTTATATTTGATTAGTTTATCAGAGAATTGTTATATGATATTGGAACAATACATTGATTTGAATAATTATGAATCAAATACTCACTCACAGTAATATAATTTATATTTATTAATTATAATTGATTGGAAATGTATTTTTAATATGTGTAATTTATTATTAGCAATAATTATGATTAAATTTAATGAAACAATATGCCTACTTTTCCTCTTCCGATTCTATCAATTCTTCCAATTCTTCTGTTTCTCCAGTTTCTTTCATTTCTTCCATTTTTCTTGGTTCTTTCATTTCTTTTGTTTCTTCGATTTCTTCAATCTCAGTAACTTCTTCCATTTCTTCTCTAAAAAAAAAGAATATGCGTAATTTATTATTAGCAATAATTATGATTAAATTTAATGAAACAATACGCCAACTTTTCCCATTCCTGTTCTATCAATTCTTCCAATTCTTCTGTTTCTCCAGTTTCTTTCATTTCTTCCATTTTTCTTTGTTCTTTCATTTCTTTTATTTCTTCGATTTCTTCAATTTAAATAACTTCTTCCATTCCAAAAAAAAGCACATCACGTTATCGGATTAATTAAATCCCGTTTTGCATGGCAAAGAAACATGTGACTAAATAAACAGGATTATTTTCCATTTATTGAAGAATCCAGTACGTTAATTCTTTTGTTTCTTGCATGGCATGAATAGAAGAAAACTTTAGTAATAGAAATTGATTCAATTTACTTGTACTATGCTTGTTATCTCCTCTTTTCTACTCGTTTTAACTTAAAAATGGTTATTAATATTATTTTTTATTCGATATTATTTTTTTTTAAAGGGAATAAATAAACCAATCAATTCATTACATTGAATTGAAGACTCATCAATAATAATAATTTAAATTTCTCTCATTAAAGTGAATGAACAGATATGAATAAATAATATGTAAAAACTTAATTTGATTCATTTTTATGTGGTTTCCTTAACAATAACTTTCGTACAGAAGCCAAAAAATTTTTTTATAATTTATTTATTTTATTTTATTTTTTTTTATATATTTTTATATTTTTTTTTTTACAAAATATTATTCAAAAATATCTAAAATTAAAAATTATGTAAAAATTAAAAATTTCGAAATATATTACAGGGGGCGTGGAAAGAAATAATTAAAGGGAAAATTTTATAAAAACTAAACTCTTTATGTATAGAAAAAAAAAATTTTTTTTGAAAAAATTGTAACGAGAAGAGAATAACAAAAAAATAATAAAACAAACAACAAAAAAATAACAAACCAAAATGCAAAAATCAACAAAAATCAAGGGTATGAACCAGTCATTGAGAACAATACTAAATGTTAACTAATTAAAGTCGACAAAACTATGGTTGTAAATTTATCATCAATTCAATATAGAGGAAATTGACATGACACTTGTATCATCTCTGGGAGAACTATTTTCAAAAAAAAAAAAAATAATAAGATATACGAGAATTAGTTAGTAAAAACTTTTGTAAGAAATTCATGATAACGATAAATATAAAAATAAAGATTTACCTTGAATTTTTAATAGCCAAATCAGCTAATTGTTCTAAAACAACATTATTGGGAGAATGAGAAGAATTGGGAGAAGAAGAAGAGCAACGTGAATAATTATACATCATCATCATAGGTTTAGGTGATGAAGCTGGAGTGGGAATTGATAATGATATATGATCGTGATTGTGATGAACATTATTATGATCGTTATGATTATTGTTGTGATTATGATTATTGTTGTTTTTGTTATGATATGGGTCAAAATATTGTCCTGGTTCTTGATAAAGTTTTTGATAATGTTCTCGATAATGTTTTCTCTCGAGATCAAAATATTTTTGTTGTTGAAGTTTATCGTTATTATTATTGTCGTTGAGATAATAATTCTCTTCTAATAAATGCTGTTGATATTGTGGTAGAAATTGTTGTGATTGTGGTTGTTGAAGAAATTGCTGATGATATTGTTGATGTTGTTGATGATGATAATGATGTTGAAGTTGTTGTTGTTGATGATGATGTTGTTGATGTTGTTGATGATGTTGATGTTGTTGATTATATTGATAAGATTGTTGAAATTGTTGTTGAGAACATTGGCCACGACTATTATTAACAAAATGATCTTGTTGATGACAATAATCATTATAATTGTTATAATTATTATAATTGTTATAATTGTTATGATCGTTATGATCGTTATGATCGTTATAATTGTTATAATGGTTATAATTTATATCATTTACTTCATTTGGTTCAGGACTAGCCACCGGAGTTTGAAGGGAATGCCATGAATTCATTGTATTTGATGAATATGTTGTCGAATTTATTGGATTTATTGAATATATTGAATTTATTGGATTTGTAGAATTTATTGAATTAATTGGTACAGGGTAATAATAAGTTTGGTCTTCTAGGTTATGTAGGCACCGTTGAAATTGTATTTCTGGTGGCATCGTTTGTTTCATAGAATGATTTTCGGTCGAGTATAATTTGAATTGTTTCTTTCGTTTGGAAGTTGTGTCTAAATAATGATAATAATAATGATAATAATAATGATAATGATTAAAGTTCGATATTAAATACATTAAATGGAATAGTTAAAAGTAGTTAAAAATAAAGTTATACCATATTTAATAGTAGACTTTGAGGAGTTAAAATTTTGGGTATCCTCATGGTTAGATTTGATTTTCTTATTTGGATTAGAATAAATTCCAGAAGTCGAACTATTGTAATTATCGTAATTATTATTGTTGTAGTTGTAATTATCGCAATTGCTGTTTTTGGGTGAAGTCAAAGAAATTATTGAAGGTAAATTGTAAGGATAAGAACATGAAGAAGACGACGACGACGGCGACGACGGCGACAATGATGATAGCGGAGGCGGTGACGAAAGTGAAAGTGAAGATGGTGGTGACGATGACGACAACGACGGTGAAGATGATGAGGTTAAAGAACTTATCGATAATATATCATCTTTACAATTATTATTTCTACTATCATCACAATTATTTCTACAATCGTCTCTAATATCATCATTCCTAATATCGTCTCGACAATAGATCTTATGGTCATTATAATAATTATTATTATTCTCGAAATTTTCATTAATGCTATTATTAATATTATTGTTATTATTATTATCATTAGCACTCTCATTATTGTTATTATTCTCGTTATTATGATTCTCATTATTATTATTCTTATTCTCATTGTTCTTATTCTTATTCTCGTTGTTGTCGTTGTTTTTATCATTATTGTTGTCGTTGTTGTTGTCGTGATTTTTAACATTTTCAAAATCCATCATCACTTGAGAAAGGTTACGTTTCTTTGACAAAGAAGAATAAAATCTATTTTTTATTAAATTAGCAGGTCGACCAAGTAATTGACTCATCAAAGCCCATTTTGTACCCATTTCTGAATAATACGTCAGAATTTTAGCATCTTCATCTGGTGTTAATGGACTATATGTCACTATAAAATATATTTATTTATTACAAAATATATTAATATTTTATTTTTTATTCATTCATGTTTATCATCATTTTTCTTTAAAAAAAAAAAATTTTTACTTACAGTTTGGATTAAGATGATTATGCCATCTATAATTATTTTTTTTTTTTTTTAGAAATATAAAATAAAATTATAAATATATAAAATTATAAATATAAAATAAAATTTATGAATCTATAAAAAATTATATAAATTATAAATTATTATTACCTTTCGCGACATTGCTTTCCGTCACGTAAACCATGTCTGATACCAATTAATTTCCAATGTTTAACACCCAACTCTTCGACAATTGCTAGTAATCTTTCATCTTCCTAAATTGTAATAATAATGTTTTTTAATGAAAATAATTGAAATAACTATTATTATTATTATTTATTATTGTTATATATATATATATTAATCTCCTAGTAACAAACAAACAAATAAATAAATAACAAATAAATAACAAATAAATAGATAAATAATAGATAAATAATAAATAAATATAATATAATATCTATATATAATATAATGAAAGAAAACTAACATGAGGTTCCCAAGGTCCCGTTCTACGAGAAGTATTATTTTGTCTCAAAAAATTATGGGACATACCATCGGTATTGGGAGTAGTGATCATTGTTGATCTTTTATTTATTATTACGTGTATGAAAGGAAAATAATGAGATTATTCCGAGAATCTAAAAAAAAAAAGAATAAAAGAGAAAAAAAAATGAACGGGTAAAAAAAATTGAAAGGAATGTAAAATTGGGAATATATATATATATATATAGTATCTCCAAGTTGTTTAAACACCAATAAAGAAAGTTGGCGAAGTAAAGAAACGACTAGCGTTTTTTTTAGAGAGGAACGTAGCAAGCAAGCACCAGGCAAACGACGACGACGACGACGACGACGACAAGATGTTTTATGAATGGAATGGACAGAAAACCTAACAATTTATTTTTTTTTTAAAAAAAAAAAAAAAAAAAGTTTGAATTTATGTGAGTTGTAATTTAGACTTAAAAAAAAAAAAAAAAAGTTATGTATATACGTTATTAAGCATAATTATACTTTATTATATATACATACTTTTATTATCAAAATATTATTGTACGTTATTATACGTTATTGAATGATGTTTGTTATATGTTTTAATTGTCGTTTTTTTTTTAATAAAAAAATTTAATTCCTTTGAAACTAAGGGATTATGATTATTTATAATTATAATTATTATTATTATTATTATTTATGATATTTGAAAGGTTGAAAGGGATAAAAGTATTTTAACCTTTTTATTCTATCTAGAAATTTTTGTAAGAATTTATTTATTTTTTTTATTTTATTTATTTATTTATTTATTTATTTTTTTTTTGATGGAGAATGGATTGTGGAATTTGATTTTTTAGGCCCTAATTTTATATGTTTCGTATCGCTATCGTCAAAGAACGAGCGAAACGTGGCTTATCGAAAAGTTAATATCTTTAAATAACAATAATATCAAAGATAATAATAATAATAATAAAATAATATGTTGTAATTATAATAATAAATAATAATGATACGTTGTTGTAGTAATAATAATAATAATAATAATAATTAATATAATTAAGATTGTTTGATGCGCGCGTAAAAAAAAAAAACTAACGATTGGGATGACAATAAATTACAATATATATCAATTAAATGAAATTTTGAAGTATATGTTTATCATATATGCAATAACGAGGATCTAACGTGTTAAAATAAATAATAAATAAATAAATTAACTTTCCCAATAACCGCAATAACTGATAAATATAATAATAAAATATGTTTAAATGGTTAATGAAGTTGAAGTTAATGAAGTGATTATTATTCTTTATTTATATTATTTTATTATATTTATTATATATATATTTTTTATTATACTTTATTATTATATTCACTCTAACTTTATTACTTTTTTTACTTTACTTTATTTATTTTACTTTATTTTTGTAATTATTTTTTTTTATTTCTTTTTTACCCTTTTTTATAATATTTTTTTCTTGTTAACTCGTTCTCTTTACTGCGGTTTCTTTGTCATCATTCAAAAAACTTTCATTCTTATACTCGCTTAGATTTTATTTTATACTTCATTATTATTATTATTATCATTACCATTATTATTTAAAAGATTTTATCAAAAAAAAAAAATATCTCTTAAAGTATATATTCGGAAGAGATCAGAAAGTAAGTATTGATTATATGTTGATATGATAACTATTCTAAAATTTCAAACAAGTATATATTAAAAAAATTGCCATCTTGTCATCTTTATTTCGCTGATAAGAATAAAATTACTTGTCTCCCTGCATTTTTTTTTTTTTCTAAATGACAAATAAAATAAAATAACATATATATTTTTATATTTCTCATAAATTTTATTTATAGATCTTTCGTTTATTTCTTTGAATTTATTTATTTATTTATTTATTTTTTAATGTTTATTTGTTTTTATTATCTCATGTTTATTCTGTAATGTTCAATTACAGTTTTATTTTTAATAAATAAATTTTAATCTTATTTCTGCAGTATGATTTTTCGGTTATTCTAATTTTCTCTCTTCTTTCTTTATTGTAGTTGGTTAAAAAAGATCTGTATGTTTATATTTCTCAGTTATTTATTTATTACCTAAATTGGTTTATCCCCAATCACCTACTTCATTCATCCATTCATTCTTTCATTGATTCCTTCATCGATTCCTTCATCGATTCCCTCCTTCCTTCCCTTCCTTCCTTTCTTTCTTTCGCCTCTCTCTAACTACCTCTCCTAATTTCGCAATAAAACTCCTGCCTTCCAATTAAAAATTATATTATTGAAAATGTATGGAAAATTGATTTGATCTAATCTAAAAAAAACTGATAAGATAAAAAAAAAGTATTATGTTATAAAATATTATTATGTTATAAATATTATAAATTATTATTATAAATATTATTAGAAAATATATTATTAATGAAAATTTTTATGAAACATTTATATATATAGAGTTAATTTGATATGAGAATAAATACGTATAAATAAATAAATAATAATAACAATAATAATAATTACTTGGTACATATTGATATAATTCTTTGGCGTAAATTATTTTTTTCCATCTCTTTCATTTTTTGGGATTAGCCCGAAAATCCAATAAATTTTTTGGTTATGTATGTTATATAACTATATGTATGTATATCATATGTTATTTATATGAAAGTCATATGATATTTAGACATTTAGTATATAAATGTATAACTGATAATTGACTTTATAAATAACAAAAGAGAGAGATATAAAGATATAAATAAATCAAATAAATAAAACATATAACACATATATGTGATTATTGTTATTTTTATATGTATGTATGTGTACACGCTATATATATAGTTAAATGCAATTGCAATGCAAGTTAAAATGTAATATATATATGTATGAACGTGGAAATAATATTTTAAATAACAATTCATTTTTGTTTTTTTTTTTTTTTTGCTTTTATTGGATGAAATGGATCGAAGGGAAATGGTATTTGGGAGGTTGGATTGTTGATTTAGATATTGTCACAACAACAATTAAACATTTACATCACGCGATCATCGAGATACAAAAAGGAAAAAAAAAGAATTAATAAAAAAAATTTTATCCAATAATATAATAATATTAAATATTAATTAATAATAATAATAATTGTTATCGGTTCAGTTATCTAACTAATAAAATTTTTTAATTAACTATAATTAAATTGGACCTCTTAAAAAAAAAAATAAAAAAATTGTAATCATAATTAATTAGATTTCAATAAAAAAATTTTTTATTCTGATAATAATAAAAATATCAAAGAGATCCTGCATAAAAATAAATAAATTAATAAACAAACAACAAAAGGAAAAAAAAAAACTACAAACCCAATAACAAATATATTGTTAATGATAGATAAAAAAAACTCACGCATTAAACAAAAACACTCACGCATAAAACAAAAACACTCACGCATAAACACAAATACGACTTACCCACTGTTTTTTTATTTCATTTACGCACACGCACAGAGAACAGGTAACAGGAATGAAATGAATAATGAATCAAGACCTTTTATTATAACAAATCTGCAATTCTATTAATTGTTGGTCGGTTGTTTATTATTAATAAATGATAATAAATAAAATAAATAAAATAATAAATAATATCAAAAATAATAATAAATAATAATGAATAATAATATTACTATCATTATTGTTTATTATTAAATTATTATTAATTTTATTATTGGTTATTTAATTATTTCGTTCATTTTTCAAAATCTTTGACGGATTATTTAGGTTAAATCTCTTTTATATATATATATATATATTTTGCCTCGCGTAAAGATTGTCATACAATCAGCACGTGGATTAACTTTTTCTGTATAACTTTACTATTAAAAGAAGTTTTTTTTTTTCACAAATAAATAATCTTTTTTAAAATTTCTATATGAGAAGAAAACAAAAATAGAAAAAAAGGAAAAGAAAAAAAAAGGGGGGGAAGAGGGAAGGAGGTAAAAAGCAGGAAAGTTTAATCAACAAAAAAAAATTTTTTTCATTATTCATGCTTTAAATGTTAAGATTGCAATCGCACAAAAATAAATATACTGTATATAATATACTAGCATATCAAATCAAGTTAGAAAAAGTTGTATTGAATTTTATTGAATTGTTTTCAAAAAGATTATGAATAAATATTACATGCATCAGTCGATATAACTGATTTATTATTATTATTATTTTCATATTATCTAATCGCCCCTAATAATAAAAAATTTCAGAATTAGGGAAATTAATTGTTTAAAATAAAAACAAAAAAAAAAAAAGAGTCTTAGACGGACGTTATTGAAGAACAAAGAAAAACTGTTAATATATAACATAAGCAAATAACTGTAATTTGATTAGAAAATAAAATTAAAAAAGATTCATGTGATTTTGTGGGAATTCCTACTAAATTCACATGATTTTGATGATAATTATTAATGATAATATTATGTTATAATGATGTGATTAAATGGATGATGTGATTATTTATATGAATGATGTTAAAATTGGTCAAATATTTTAAGGAATCAAATAATTGAAGTAATTGATGGAAAATATTTTTCCTTTCAATTTTCAAGTGGTAAAAGATCTATTTATATTAACACAGAAAAAAGAGATTTGATCCCAGATCAGATTAAATTGAATATATATATCCATCAAAGAATTATATTGCTTATATATAGTTTTTAAATAATCATATGGTGGTGATTTTCTTTTTTTTTATTATTAATTTAAGAAATTATTATCTTAAATTGAAAATTTTTCATTATAATAAAAAATTAAATAGTCCATTGTGTAGTTAACATTATCGTAAAAAACGTGACCGCAGATCAAATGTTGAATGATCAAAAATTGATCCTAACCATATCTAGTCAAAAAAATTTTTGTCTGTTTTTTATAATTTAACCTGTTCAAGTTGCAACCAAGTAGTTATCTAGTTATCACTTTCATTTTTAAAAATAACAAGTATTACAACCTGTCCTGTCATTGAAGTAGCAAAACCTGTAACTGCAAAGTAATAAAAATCCAGTAAATATTATAAAATCTTGTTTATAATTATCAATATGTTATAGCAAATTGTCACGTGATAATGACATTTCAACGGCCATGCTATGATATAAAAGACCCATTTAGCCAACAGGAAAGTTAGTTGTAAATTTTTTTAAAATTATTATATTAATAAGCGTAGAGACAATAATTCCATTATAGAGTTATAATCAACAGTGTGTTATAAGAAAAATATCTATTGTATTTGTTACAAATCTATGGCTTATTGAATTTTGTCACGAATTAATCATCACCCTTACACAAGAAACTCTGTCAGATATTAAAAAAATTTTATGATTTAAATTTAAGAATTAAATTTATTAGAATATTAAATTTAAAAATAATTTTATTCTTTTTTTAAAAAAAAATAATGTTTGGATGTTTGGACTAATCCATGTAATGAATTAAATTGTAATTTTTCTAAAATATTGAGTATAAGTTATAAAATCCAAGATCTTTCAATGTTAGCAATAGTAACAGATCCAAGTGCAGATATTAAACAACAAAAGAAACAATTACAAAAAAAAAAATATCTATACATTATTAATTTCACATGTATTGCAATCTTGTCTCAGAAGATATTATGAATCATCAAATTTTCAAAAAATCGCATGGAAAATTCCTTATAAGAAAATTTGAAATGGGGTTAAAAAAGTTATTGTGAATGAATAAAATTTATAGTTTTATTTATAATCAAATATTTATGTTTGAAGAGTTTCTATTTAATAATAAAAAAAAAGATAATTAATAAATATCCTGAAGCAATTTGTTAATTCAGGAAACGGCTTGTTTTTGTCGTTGCCCTTTACAGTGTAATATTATAGGTCACGATTTCTGCATCAACGTGTTTTCATCAAATTTATGTTCTGCTCTGTAGATGTGTTTATATAAATAGGGTGAAAGTGCTGGAGTCTCGGGTAAGTAAACAAATCATTAACAAAGCGATTATTAATTAAACAATTGTGCAATATCTCAAAATTTTTTTACTCATCGCGCAATTCAATCAATAAATCAAATTATTGATTGATAATCGTGACACATGAATTGCGTCGTTGGCAATTATATATTCATCTCATAATCCAACTCCAACTTCGAGAAGGAGAATCGGAAAAAAAGATAATTCCATTACAATTGGCAAGTAACAGTAGCAATATCGTAAGTAACGAAATGATAAGGATACTAATAGCTAGTACGAGAAATGCCATTTCTTTACATGTAAAGGGCCAGGATCACGACGGTCATGTTTCCGTGCTATATTCCTCCCTCTTCATCTTTGACCTACACTTTATCTTTCTTTTATATTATCTTGGCTGGTCACATAAATAACTATGTAATGTATAAAATAGTGTAATAATAACATGCACAGCCATTGTCCTAATTTGCGTAATCAATCAGATCTCCATGTAGTTCAAAGAAATTTTTTTTCACACTGTATCAATGTCCATCACACTTTATTATCATGTTAAAGGAATTTACCGAAGCGCGCTTTCCCCGTCAAGGTCAGCAAGGGAGAGACTATTGGTGAACTCAAAGATGCTATCAAGTCGAAGAAGGTACCTGAGTTTTATAGTTTCCATGTAGATAAACTTAGATTATGGAAGGGCGAAATCTCAACGCATCATTCAGAGTCAAACTCTACAATATAACGATGAGTTAGAACTGGCATATGAAATTGAAGATGACGACACATCCATGTCGTCACAAAGTTGCCACGTATCTCCATGTCAAGTATACGCGTCTTTATTTTTTTTAACTTGTGCCTTTACAGCTTCAAGTCAGGAGGTACAGTACAAGAATTGAGCATATGGGCGCATTTGGTTCTAGGGGTTTTTATCCAATCAAAAATTATTATTTGATCTAGATCCTCAATTGTGATTGGTCTGTTTTAAAGATAAAATTATAAAAAACATAAGAAAACTCAGAACTTTATGTTAACCACCTTTTAGCTTCTAACAAAAAGTGTTTAACATGAATTTTTACATATATTCGCCTATTTTTATGACGGGTTATTATGTAAGTAGAAGCTTTAAACCCGAAAGACGTCCCGACAATACAACCGTCTAACCCATCGTCCCGACACCCAACCCATCGTTCAAACCCCAACTTGCGTCAACTCATTTTATTTCATATTCTATTGCACAATAAAGTTGTTTTATTATGTTTTTTCATGTTTTTCACTTAGTTTGATATTAAAGAACAACTTTAATTAATAGAAATAATATATTAATAAACATGTTACTTTATAACAAAGTCTTGAAATTTATGTAACAAATTATTAGTTGATGAATCAAATGCGCCATATAAAATAGAGCAACAAAACATACATCTAAATGTAAAATACCGCGAATTCTTATTTATTTTCTCGCTTCAATTCATCAAAAATGTTTTGGTATACCACTTACGTTGACTAATGTACTGTTTTTATTTTTAGTCATATGCTTCCAGTACCTTGAATTAAAAGTCATATGGTAGGGAGGATTTTACTTCGCTATATGCCCGTTTGCAACGCTCTTGGTCTCAATGGCCATTGGCAGATCATAAGTTCGTTATTGGCATAAATCTTAGAAAGGACTTCATCGATTTCATTAAAAATTGTTTGCGGCTGGGTGAGAACGATAATAATACCAATTGAAGTATTAAGGTTTTTATTTATAATTTTCTTATAACTCCTTGTTCGTGGCTGAGTGAGAACGATAAACATAAAACGTTGTGAAAATAATCCAATCAAAATATCTGACGAAACGACAAATAATCTGAACTAATACAATCTTGCCTGAGTCTTTTATCAGCACCATTAAAACTTGGAGAACCTGAGGAATGGTTCAAGGTGATAATTGTTATCTTAATCATTATTTATCAAGTGTTCCTATCACAATACCTGTTGGCCTATATTGCTCGATTTTTGGCAAGTTTTATGATCTCTGTAATGAAGATCCAGAATGTGAAGACAATCTTTTCACTTACGATTTTTGTGTCGACGTGGCAAAATTTTATGAAAGCATCAAATGACAAATAAAATGTTATCTGACAACCAATTCAGCTCAGTAGTAAATCACACTACTGATGGCATATATGTTATTTCGATCTTGGTACATATCGTGAGAAGAAACAATGTAGTTCCAGCACCTGCCCTCATCTCGAAATTATGGACATTATCTAGAAACATGGTTGAATCTAACAACTTCACTGAATGTTGATGGGCCTTACTTTCAATTATTGTGGCTTCTTTGGTGAATTCTTCCCCAACCTCTTGATTTCTCTTCTCTGTAAAAAGTTTTCCATACATCTGTTTTTTGTTTGTTTCCTTAAAAATTAATAAGTTTAACTTTACTAATCAAATATATATATGTAAAGCAGAATTTAAATCTCGAGTTAGCAGGTTTATTTTGATTTAAGAACATTAAAACTTCCTATTTGTGAAGTCTCTTCGCCTATTTGTGTATATATACCTGCCTATTCGCACCAAAAATTTTCTTCATTCAACCAGTGTTATAATACAATCACTAACATTTAGTAAATGACATCTGTTGCTTTTGAATAAACTGTTATTTGTTGTTTACAGTGTTATTAGTTTTTCATAGTTTAGAATCAGTTTATTATCTGGTTATATGTATTGCTTTGTACTTGTTTCCCACTTGTTTTAGTAGTTAGTCAATCTTTTGGCACAGTTACTCACCTGGAAATGTTTTAGTAAAGCTTTCCCAACCAGATGATAACAATGAAATATTAGACCTTATTAATTTCCTGATGTATTTTTTATTTAAAATGAAAAAATTTAACTGTAAAATTAAATTTTTAAAAAATTTAATACCTCATTCATAAGCTATTTTTTTATATATACATGTATATATGTATATTTAATTGATTTGGAAAAATGGAAGATGAAACCTTTTTTCCATGCATTAGAGATTGTAGTGAAACTAAATCATTGCATTAGGTTTAATATTTTTCATTAAATAAATAACCAAGTTTTACCTCTCTTTGATCTTAATTTATTAAAGAAGCTTCACTTGAACTTTAGAATATATAATTTAATTACTTAAATGAATTTCACTATTGAATTTTGGGGAGAACCCATTTCTACAAGTATTAAAACTATCAGCTTTTTTATTAAATATATATTAACAATGGTCATATAATCAGCATTCTAAATAGATGGTGAGTATTACGGGAAGTCTCCTCAATTGATTCTAACAAATACAACCTACTTATTAGATTGGCGCAAGAAAAATCATGAAGTATCTTACTATGTCTCAGAATTTTTTAATACTATATCTTCGCCTGCATGGGAATATTTGGTTCTATGATACATGCCAAAAGATTTTACATTATGTTTTAGAACGTAAGTTTAAAATAATTTTCATCTTTGTTGATATCCATGAAATTTAAAAAAATCGTTTTAACTTTTTAATGTTAACTTTTAGAATTACCGTTATAGGATTCGGTCAATTCTATCTCACGGAGCGCTGTAATTTCCAATACAACATTTTGATAGAATACCAATGATTTTTTATATATCGTTATTTTATTCGGTAAATGGTTTCCAATTACTTTTTTCTTGTGGGGATTTACTATTTCAACAGTATTAATATTTTTAGGATATTATCAAAATAAAATTATGAAATTATTGGAATTTTATATCTTCCAAGGTACAATGACGCTTAAATTGCGGTTTGAACTATTCGCTTATATTAAATTTTTTTTCATTAATATATCTTATTTTAAATTTAGGATCTTTCTTCTTAATATTGATCTGCTTATACCTACAATTGTGATTAATTAAGAGCATTAATGATCCGATGAACTATAATATTTTTAATTGGATGGCAGATCGACTATCATTTTTGTAAGATGAATAAAATATCAAATCCACAACTACATGCTTGGTGGTAGTATATTTGTACCCTTACCGATTTTTCCATATTATGCACTTGACTGTGATGTTTGATCGATCAAAAATGCTTGGAAAAAAATCAAAAATTATATATGTAGAATTATCAGAAGAATCAGAATGAGAATTGCTCTTGCAAAAAGTCTCGGTTGAAGACACTGATTTCAGAATTATTATATGCAGAGACATTTCCGGATTTATTTATTTATTCATTTTGCATTTATTCGTTTTTAAAAGTTATCATATAACTGCAAAAATATTTCGCTTTGCTAAATAAAATTAATAGAGTTGAAACCTTACATTTAAAGCATGTAATTTCGAATGGGAAAAAATAAAATTGTTATCATCATGATCAACATTTGCGTAATAAAAAAATTTATGTAATTTTGATCGCTCAATATTACGTGTAGAAAAAAATTTAGGAACTTAATCAAAGCTATATTATTCTAGCTCTAGATAAAACGGATTTTTAATGTTACAATTTCTGATATATATATTTTTGATATTAAATTTTTGATTAACTTTTTCGACAGAAAAAAATTTATAAAAGGATGAATATATCGATTCAGTATTTACCACAGATATTACAAGTACGTATGATTTTTTTTTTATCTCTCCTAGGCATTGCGTTTTTATTATATTATTTTTACTTTGATTTTTTACATATCAGGAATGCAATTTAAAGCATTTTTATTAAAACAGTTTTCTGTTCTATTTTCCTTACTGGTATACTAAATTTTTATTAGTCTTTTTCACTAGATTTTACTGTTATCCTAAAAAGAATTTTTTTTTATCCCAATCCTCCACTGATATACTAAATTTTTGTTAGATTTATAATTACTACACTAAAGACATGATTTAATAACAAGCAGAGTAAAGAAAAATTTATAAATCTAACGTTCTTTTAAAATCGATATATGATTTGTTTCCAAATTATGACAGACACAATTGTAAACCTCCACTTTTGCAATAAACACTTTAAAAATAAAAAATAAATGCTGCGTTTAGTATAAGTTTCCTGCTCGCACGTGGCCCAAGTTTAAGATGATCACTAGTGTGATCTATCACGAAATCAATTGTTAGTTTTAGTTAAATATTTACAGATTAAGAATGAATACGAAAGATTAATGATCACAGTCTCAATATAATTAATTACTATGAGGCAAATTTAAAAACGCCATATAATGTTTAAAGTTATAATTTACTAGTATGACATATCCCAATTAACCATATATACATTCACGTTCATAGAAACAATAAAAATTTTATCCAAAAGGTTATATATGACTTGAATATTTTCTTGTATTGAGATTATAATAAATAGAATTTCTAGCAGGTTCCAATTTTTACATGAAATAAATAATATGATCTATAAAAGATGCATTTTTTTGTCAAATTTCCTACAAATTTAATAATATAAAAATAAATATCTTGAAAAATCAATAAAAGTTTAATAACAATAAAAAAATTAATCAAATAATCAGATCTTCACGATTAATAACTTATCAGATTTTCATTATAAATGCATTCATTTAACTTTTCAGAAATTTGCTTTTTATGACTTTAATTGCTTCTTTATTTTTCACTGTTGCAAAGATGTTTCCTGAAAATATCCACTTATGTATGGGTTCATTGCCATATAATCCATTTTGTGTGATGTCAGAAAAAAAATTAACGATGATATATAGCAGAGCTGAAATTAATTTTTGTGATGTGAATTACATACATAACAGAAGTACAAAATATTTTTTCATGATTAGTAATGTGACTGAAAAAATTAGCGAAACAGAAAGAATTCTAGAACAATTCCAAAATAATTTTACTAGAATTTCATCTGAATTCAAATCAATCGATAGAACTATCACAATACTCCAGAAAGAAATCAATTAACTAAACACTTTTATCCAAAACATGAATAGGAGAGATCCAATTAACAAAGCGAGGCATCATCTTCTATTTGATCATCTCTAACTTCCTCAAGTAAAGATTAAGGTCAAAATGTTCAATAAAATTAATTAAATTTATTTATTAGTTGTGATAATTTCACTAATCAATAATTTCTGATTGTAGGATATAATACACAAACATTACCTTAATCATCTAGTTCCGCTTTAAAGAAGTCTTCAATAAGGTCATAATTGAAGAAATTTGTTTTTGATGGAATGTGATATAGCATAGTGATAATTCGTGAATTTGGAGAGAATATTAAACAAGTGACAGTTAAAAAATGTTTATAATGGAAATATTTATTGAAATAGTATTACAATTAATGATATAGGTAGATATGGAAACTGTCACACTTTACAATATAAAAGACTTAGAATCTAGTAGACATGGTTCCATGCTTTATTCCTCCTTCTTTATCCCTACTCCATGATTCTATCTATATAGATCGGCCTTTATTTTTGTAATAAATCACTAAAATTAATAAAATTAACTTTATGATAATTATATGGTATGTAACATGTAAAATTTTGTTAAGTGAATATATAAATAGAATCACCAATCAGGCTTTCAAACTAAATATGCTGGCAATATCTACTATGTCTCACCTTTTGTTTCGTAGATCTACAAAACACATCTGTAAAAGTTTGTAAGATACACTTCTAATAGTAACAAGTCATCAATGGTAAGGTAAAATATTCTATTTTTTTGTTAGGACATTGTAAACTGATATTTGGTATCTGGCACGTAATGCATCAGATATTGGTGTTTTAATTAGTATTGGAACTTTTTCAGGTGTTGCTTAAATTATATAATTAAATCGAATCTTGCACCAATTACAAAAGTAAGTTAATGATTTGAACAATTATTGCTTATAAAAATCACTAACTCTTTGTTTGAACCTAGCATCTTGACATTATGGAAAAGCGCTTTGATAGTATGGAAAATCTCTTTGACAAGCGCTTTTATAGTATGGAAAATCTTTTTGACAAGCGCTTTGATCGTATGGAAAAGCACCTTGACAGTATAGAAAATCAATTTACAGAAATAAAGGATTATATTATAAGGGTTAAGGAAGGCTATGCAAAGTTTGAAGAATGATTGGTAACTATTGAAATTAAGGTGTGAAATTTTTTTCTTTGACAGTCAACATATTTATATGTCATTAACACTTTTTTACAAACAATGTGCATTCTATAGATAGAAGATCCCAAAAGAATTGCTTGAAATTATAAATTGAAAAATAATTTTATATTATGAAATCCTACTTAAGAATGAGCTTTAGTTCAAATTAAAAATGGATGTTTTAATATAATTGAAAATGTTAAAGCTAATGAGATTTATTTGAACTAGCTTTATTGAAGTTTAAATGAATATCATTAGTGCTTTTATTTGTAATAATGGGAAAATATTATATTAATAAAGTATAAATTTTGATTTTATTTTCGTTACTACTTTGGAAAGCGCAAATTATATAAATAAAAGGTTTTAAGGGGCATGCCGAAAATCATCTGATATTTATTTACTATGGGACTAACTCCATCTCCCTCCTGATAATCTTTATTAAGAATATTAATTTATGATTTATTAGATTACTTTAATCAAGATAAACATTTTGATTAGTTGTTTCTTTCAAATTGAACATTTTTATGCCAAGTTATTATCAGTAAGTGAAATTTTTTAATTTATATAAAGTGATCTTAATAACCTGTGATCTAATTTCTGCAATTACATTTGTTAATTTAATTTTTCAAATTATATGGAGTGATCTAATAACCTGTGATCCAATTTTTATAATCTATAGCTTATTAAATTTCTCTCATTGAGATAAGCATTTTGGTAGTTATTTTATTCAAATTAAATATCTATACACCAGGTTATTAATCAAAATATTTGTTTTATCAGTAGATAAAATTCTATTATAATTTTTCATATTATATTGAGCAATTTCACTGTGGTCCATATTTTGCAATCTATACATCAGGAAATTTTAATATGCAATGATCAAACAAGAATCAATGGAGGATTTTTACTTTTTTTTTTTACCTTTTTTGATTTTGCTTGCAATTTTTTGAAGTAGAGTGATTTTGTATATACTAAAATATTTTCAATATAGAAAGAAGGCCTTGTTCTTGGCTACAAAATGATATGTGTTTCATCCCAATAGCATCAATATTTGCAGAGTTATTTGCATTTAATTCAAATGTCCATGAAAAATTTCATAAATCATAACAGAAAATTTCACAGACATTTGACTTTAACACGAATACCTCCGCAAATATTGATGCTATCGAGATGAAACACATATAATTTTGTAGCCAATAACAAGGCCTTTCTTTCTATCTTAGAAATACCTTAGTAGAAAAACATTCTTTGCTTCGCAAATCGTGAGCAAAGTCAAAAAAAATGTAAAAAAAGTGAAATCCTCTGTTTGTAATGAAAATCCACCATTGATTGCCTATTAAAATTTCCTGATGTAGCTCATTGCAAATATTTTTCATCAAAATTGGACTTCTTCATGCAAAGTTAATGTTTTATCATTAAATATTTATCAATAGATAAAATTTTAAGATAATTTTCATGTTATATGGAATGATTTGGACCTCTCTATGCAAAGTTATTATAATTATAGGTACCATCTTTAGATATCATTTTAAAAAAATAATATGGAATAATCACTGTAAAACTACTATATATTATATGTATTGTTGTAATATATAAATTTAATTACCAATTTGATTTTATAAACAAATATAAAAAAAAATTAAAGCTACAATGAATTTAATAATGTAATAAACATACATATAGTGACTGTAATAATAATTATATAGTAACTATAAATTTAATAAGCTATACAGTTGTAGCAATGTAACTTTACAATAACTATATTGTTAAAAATTCTAGGTTTCAGCAAAGTAAACAAGTGACAGTTAAAAATTTTTATACAGTGCAGAACCTCTAAGATAGGAACTTGGTTATAGTAAAATTTTTTTTTTTTTTTACAACGATGATATAGTCACATGATACTATTATTGAATTCTATTGGCTAAAATTGCATCAGAAAACTGTGGATATCTGCAAAAGTTTGATGATACTGACAAATTGCCAAATGGTAAAGGCAAAGACGTTGTAAATTGATATTTATTAATGAATAACATACCTTAGGTAGCTCTTTTGATTATCTGGTACATTATGTAAAAGGTATTGGTGTTATAACTTGCCTTGGAACTGTTTCTTTTGATGCTATAAGTTACATAATTAGCTGGAATATTGCACCAATTATAGAAGTAAAGTAAATGATTTGAATAATCATTGCTTATATGAAATCATTAACTCTTCGTTCGAACCTAGCGCCTTGGCGGTATGGACAAGCGCTTTGACGATCGTTTTGACAATATCGCTTCGGCGAACGCTTTGACAGTATGGAAAAGCGTCTTGACAATATGGAGCAGCGATCTGAAAAGCAATTTACAGAAATAAAGGATTATATAACGCAAAATTAAGAGAACGATTGACAATGCATCAATATATTTATATTTCATTAATACTTTTTTTTACAAACAATGGGTATTCTATAGATAGAAGATCCCAAAAGAATTGCTTGAACTATTTAAAGATGGGTGTTTTAGAGATTTATTTGAACTTTTTTTATTGAATCATCACGCACACACAAAAATAGATGTATTATTAGCACGCACGAAAATAGATGTATTATTAGCACGATTTCTATCTTTTAATCATAGATTTGAATGGTTAAACATCAAGAGACTTAAATTGTCGAGTGTTAAGCGCACATGAAAATTGTATGGCGATTATTAATTGCCTTCAGTAAATTTGGTCCGAATAATTTTATATTAACACAGCTTTGTGTTTTATCAATTATATAAATCGTTGTGATAAATTTATAATAATAAAAAAAATAAAAACTTAGATATACAAAATAAAATAGTTAGTAAATGAAATCATGCCCCGAAACCCTCCTTTATTTTGTGTTTTACTATATTTAAATAAATATTAAAATGTTCCGTCATTTTTTATTTTAAATATTTTTATTTTTTTTTTTTATTATATGATCATTACCTCCTGATCCTAAGTGGGAGGAGGGGATGATACCCTAAGACCCGAAGAAGACATATTATTATCTACTTCAATATTAGGTCTTATAAACGCTATTGGAATTTCCCCCATGATCATGCCCAGCGGACTGCCATTTTCGGCATCACGTGGTTCGTCAATTGTTTCTTTTACAATTTCTTCTGTTTTCAAAAGTGGCGTCTCAATGGACTCTTGAATATTTTTTCTGACTTCCGCGTGATCCAAATTGTTCGTAGTAGGATCTATATCATTTTCAACACTTTCAGCCATCGCTTGTATTTCTGAAGATAAAAATTTAGATTTATCTTCTGGTGATAGAATAGAGAAAACAAATCCTCGTACATCAACATCTTGATCTTTTGCAAGACAATGTATCATATCGACGGTTAATGATGGTCGATTTTCAGGATCTTGATAATATTGTTCTAGAGTACAAATAAAAAAATTAAACATAATTTGGGAATAATACATAAAAAAAGAAAGAGAGAGAGAGATATAACTCACCAGTTCGGCATAATTCTCCAACAAGTCGACCCAAGGCAATTCTCACGTTAACTACTTTGTCGAGTAAAAGATTTGCCAAACTGGGTAAAAAATATTTTGAAAATTCATCTTTAGGAAATTTGGATGCAACAAATGCACTACATATCTGTATGTAACTAGTTAAAAAATATATATATATATATATATATATCAAATATTAGAAATATGTAATATTCAAGATGTTTTTTTTTTTTTTTTGCAAGATATTTTTTTAACTTACACTACTCTGCCTCGAAATCCTTTATCAGAAACAAATTCATTCATTCTATTTATCAACTTTTGGAGACATGATTCATTGTTACGTAAAACTTCAAATAAAGCGGGAAACTTTTTTTTTTAAAAAAAAAGTTACATATAAAATAATTTATAAATAAAATCAACAATAATATTATTAATAATTAATTACTAAATGATTTTTTCAAATGACTTACACTTGTGACTGCCGTTTCTCGCACAGTAGCCACTGAATCTTTGATTGCCTTTATAGTTAGTGGTAATATATGATTTATCACATTTTGTTCATCAAATAACCGACATAACTCTGAAATTTGTCTGAAAATATTAAACCATAATTAAATTCCGTTTGAAAAATCGATACTTAAAGGTTTTAATTATATAATTCATACTTTGCAATTTCATTTCTTAATCGCCATTGATCACTAACACCTTCCCAAACATCATTCAACGTTGGTAAATATTCATCTCGATTAGATTGAGGTAAGCATTCAATGAATGCAGCGAGATGTTCTATAAGACCAGACTTAACCTCTTCTGCATCAATCAGATAAAGTGAAAAAACGTTAAGTAGATCCTCTTTAGTTTTGGTTGGACCTATGACCTTCGCAATTTCGTGAAGCGAACAGGCCAAAGATCTCCGCACTTTAATCTTAAAAAAATTATTGTCATTGTCGTAATTTAGATGATGTTTAATAAATAATTTTTTTAAGAAGAGGGACCTTCAAACCTGCATGTCTCTTGCTAAAGAAACGTAAGTTCCCTTTAGATCGTCCCAACGACTTTCTCCCAAAGTCAAAACAACAGCTAAAATATATAGGCAAGAGATATTATAGATTAATAATACAACATGAAAAAGCCAAAGAAGTTTAAGGAAAATGATATTATGTTAAATATTACAACAGTTATTAAAAAAAAATATTTATATAATATATAATATTGACCAGGAAAATTATATGCACAAATAACCGGACGTTCAGGATCTCTCTGCTGCCCTAGGCCTCCACTAAAAGAACCCCCTGTGACGCCATTACTCCCATTGCTGCCTTCCCTGATTGGAACGAGACTTAAGAAGTTTTGTATTAAGCTTTCAGGAACCTTGCCTCCAGGTTGGAAAGTTGCAATTAATTCCCCGACCATCTCTCCGGCCGCAGAACGGACACTACGACAGACATCTCCTGCAAATAAATCCATACCCTTGACGGCCCGCTCAAATTTCATTTCTTCGGGAAGACGAGAGCATATGGTTGGTAAGACAAGACAGCAGGAGCGGCGCACATGCCAAATAGGGTCGTTAGAGAATTGGTCGTATAAGGGTAACTTTTGATATTATTGTTTGCTCAATATCAACAATCTGGTAATATTTCAAACCAGGTGCATGAAACAAATGGCTTGTTATTTACCAATTTTGAAGTTATTATATCCAAAGACATTACATTAGCCAAACTCCCCACTGCCAAGGCCGCTTCCTAACAGGGAAATTTTATTAAATTATGTTACAAAAGAGAATATATATACATATATATTTATATTTATATAAATAGCAAATAGAATGTATATGTAACAAAAGAGGTAATTGAATCAAACCACACCTTCCGTACATAAAACACTGGCTCAGTCGCCATTTTGTCTAATTCATGTAGAAACAGGCGAGTACATTTTTCGGGTCCAACAATAGATGCTAACGATGCAATTAGCTACGAATATAAAAATTAATAATTGTAAATGGTTTAGTATAATGATTATGAAATTTGATAACTTACCGACATCATCGTCATTCGACCTAATTCGGCTATCTCCTCACCACCAGCAACTACATGTGTATTTGAATCATCTCCATCTGTATCCCAGTCATTTAATTCAGTTCTTTTTGTTTTCTCTTGATCTAATCGACCAATTCCAAGAACGACTCCCTCTAAAGTTTCCTTTTCTAAAATTTCCTTGTTCTTTGGACTTAGATTTGGATCCCCCAATATTTTCTCAACTAAAGACTGTACAGCGTTTTGAGCTGATTGTGCAATTCCTGTATTTTGATCAAGAAGTAATGTGTGAAGTAGACCTGTGAAAGCAGATGGAGATAAATATGGTAAGTGACTAGTAGGAGTTTGTGGTTGTGGAGGAAGCAGTGGTAATGATTGTTGTATGGGTGTTTGTGGTCTCTGAGGAGTTTGTGGCCTGGGTGGCCTTTGTTGTGGTGTTTGAGGCCTCTCTGGACTCAAAGATCTGCGCGTTAGGAAAACACCATCATGAACGTTTTCGGGTGTAGCTTCCTTGAGTGGACAATGCTATACCATAAAATTAATAAATTAATTTAGGTATTTATAAATTTAAATAATATCTTGTAATTTTATCTAAAAAATTTCCTACAGAATAATAAAACCATATGATTTTATCCACTTCTGGCGCAAAAGCTTCACGCACATGAACCTCTAATAAAATATTTATATATTTATTTATTTATTTTTTTTAAAAAAAAGGAAATATTATAAAATAAGTTTTTTTTTCTTTTTTTACAAAATTGGATAATAAGAATCAAAGAAAAAATAACAACCATTATCATTTCCTAAAGAATTCATCAAAGGCAGTACAAATTCAACCGCTTCACTAATTTCAATGTCTTTTATCAATGATGGCAGTTCTCTTGCAATGTACACTCTCATGAAGAAAAGTAAAATGTCAGTAACTTTTTTAAATTTAGAATAAACAAAACAATGCGATGTAATTCCTACCTATGAAATAATAATTCACTTTTCACATACAAAAAAATTTTCTCAAGTGGCGATAATGAACCATCTTCTAGGAGTTCTTCTTCCATTTCTTCAGGAGCAACATCTACAAATTGATGTTCTATGATGAAATCCAATAATAAAAGGATTTATTTACTAACTGTTAGCAAATTTCAAAAGACGCTTGTAAATTGAAAAAATTTTGGGCTGGTAATTGAGTGAATTTTGGTTTTTTAAGCATAATAAAAAGAATCCTTGTAAATTTTAATAAAGGATTCGATGTTCTAATAACAAGAATAGCCATTTGACAACTCAGAATAACTAAAGGCAAGAGGTTATGTATACCAGTTGAATTTTCTGTCATCGCAGCTAATAGATCTTCGGAATCAATTTCAGTTCCATCCTCGAGATCTTCACTTTCCTGAAGAGCATGTTCTTGATTTTCTAAACCGAATTCTAATAATTTATGAAATTTTAGTATAAACTTTCCATTCAAATTATTAAAAATAAAAAGTTCCTTTCGGTGTGGAACCTTTACCAGACATGACACGTCCTTGACAATAGAAAATTTTAGAGATTGACGAAAATCGAGTTACAAATTTTTAAGTGAGTGGCTGTTTCACTAGGCAAAACAAATACATGAACGCCACAATGGTTGCCACAAAATTTTCCTGGTTTTAGCTAGTCACTTTACCAATTATTCTCTCTCGAATTACTTAATTTGGAAAATTGTCTCCCGTCAAAATTTTTTGAGGGTCACATAATTTTTATTTTTATTAGGATTTTCTTTTTCTATGCTTTGTCCCAGTGTTATGTCTGGGATTGCGAAAATTAGTACAAAGATTAAAACCGCGGACATTTCATTTTTACAAAAAGCATTTTTTTCTAATTTTCAGAAAAATTCGAATTCACATGATTCATTTCTATCTGATACTTTAGTTCAGAATATACCTCAAAAGCCTTGTGAAAAAAAATTAATTTTAAGCGAAAATGACCCAACATTCGCGTTCGATTTTGATCACATTAATATTCCAAATAACTCGGATAACAAATTACCACTTAATGGAATAGAACCTTCAGAGAATGAACCTAAAGGAGCTGACGAGTATACACTTAATGTTGGCAGGGGTATATTAAATTATCTAATTAATTCCTCAAAATTTTTCTTAATTTATTTTGGATTTTCACCTAACTAAACCTTAAATATGCAGCAATTCGGACATTACGTTCTGAACTCTCTTCATTTTTTGAACAAGGTCTGAAAGACACATCTATTTATTCACAAAACATTCTTTTATCGGATCCACATCACACTAGACTACATGTACGCGGGAAACATGTATATATGGGCATCGCTAATTTATTAAGATGGAGTTTGATTTGGTATTTTGATGATTTGACGTTAGAAATATCGAAGATTAATGTAGTTGGAAACAATACAGTAGAAGGAAATGACCCTGGGCAAGATATTTATTTTAAAGGCGAGATTTTTAATGTTTCATTAGATTGGAAGAGTCAGAATGATAATAAGTTAACGCTTCCTAAAGATACAAGTTATAAACTTATCCCTTTACCAACTTTATTAGCATATTCTACATCATCCTTACAACCTTCTGATAGAAATACTCGACTTTTTATTCGTTGGACACTTGAAGGTACTCCTCGATCATATTATATTTCATCAATGTTGTCTTCTCACAGTACTAGAATTCCACGATCAACTTTTTCTGGTATTTTCATGTATAAATTTGATTCTAAAACTGGATTAGTATCAGAACATCACGTTAGACATATTGTACCAGCACCAAGTCGCAGGGCTGTATTATATCAAGGTTTTGGTGGACTTGGAGGATTACTGTGGAGAATTAGAAGTGGAATGAGACAACAAAAGAATGAATGGGGAGTTGGTTTAGGGATGGTTGGGGCTAAGAACCAAGAAACAGAAAAATTAAATATAAATAAAAATAATATTAGATAACTTTATGCGGTTTACTAATTTGCCGTTGCACGTGACGCCGATCGTTGAGCGAATTATTTAAAAAAGCAAAAAAAAAAAATTTTAACGTATTTGGTCAGTGGATTTTTTTCGAAAACGCACAGATCTCGATAATCACGTATTTAGTTGGCCAATGAATTTTCAGATTTTTATCACGTTATTATCATGTGAATCACATGTTAGTTTTAACCAATAAAATTAAGCTGCGCCTTAAAATATGAGAAACAATTATTTTTTTTATTTTAAACGAAAACTTTAAATCACACCAGTGGTGTTGATCAACACTGGTGTTGAACACCACTGTTGTGATTTAACAATCTCGTATAAAGTTTTCTTAGAAATAGGATTAAAAGTAAATTAATTAACATCTATTGAAATCGCAATTTGTAATCACATTAATCAAGAGGAAGAGTTCTAATAATGTATTCTTTGTACCTTAATAAAAAAACAACTGTGAATGCATTAACATTCATAATGTAAAATGAAAACTTGTTTTTGTTGATTTGACATGCATGATTATCTTTTTTTCGAATTTTCCGCAGTAATTTTTTGTGTCACAGACCACCTAACCAGACTAAATCGAAAACAGTAGTTTTCGAAACCCAAAAATAAATTTTTCGAATTATAAAATATTTTCTATGAACTAGTTTTCATGCTCAAATTTTGAGGTAGAGGTGTGGTGTGTACAAAATTTATTTAAAAGAAAGAAGAAATCCATAATTGTCCAGAGTTATCAGTTAAATGCGCGATGTTTTTATAATGACGAAGATTGGTTAATAAATTAAGAGATTCATACAAAATAAACTTCATTTACCTTCGTAATTTTGTTAATTTTCATTCATTCTGTAACAATAAAAATCTTCCTTTAAATCATTCAAGGATAATTTTGACAAATCTATTATCCGATTCGCTACGATCTTTATCAGTATCAGTAAATAAATTTACTTAAAAAGAGAATATGCCCGATCCCTAATAATTATTTTTTGAAAGTAATACTAAAATATTAAATTCAATGAATTCAATGAATTCAATGACGTTAATTGTATACATAATTCTTATTTTTGTTGTCAAATTGGTTTGTGCATATATTAAAAATTTCTTATTCTTTGATGTGGGGGAATTTTTGAGATAAAATTTTTTGGGAATGAAAAATATTAAACCCTTTCATGCGATGCATTAATTTATTGGATGACATTCTTTTAATGCTATACTTTCTTTATCAAGTAAAATATTTAATTATTAGAGATAAAATTTCCCTTTAAATACGTAATATTAGTGGTCACAACCAAAAATTTTTTTAAAAAAAAAAATATAAAATAAATCTAATCATTAATCAAAATAAATGAAAGGAAAATAGTCATTCAGAATGTAATCGTTAATTTTAGCCATTTTTTTCATTCATCAAAAAATAGATATACGAAATTATCTTTAAATACAAAGCAAAGCCAATTGACATATTAAGCAATGCTATTCGAGGAAAGACGAAAAATTAAAGATCATTCAATTATAGAAAGAATACAATTGTAGATTTTTAATAATAACGCGTGTGTCAATTGGGTGAAAAGTAATTTTTGCCAACGCATGATATTCGTTCATTCATAATTTTGAATATTAGAAATTTCTAAAGTATGCAGAAAATGGTTTTGTTTCCTCGTAAACATTGATGCAAACATTTTAGAATCTATAAAGATAGAATTATCTTGAAACAAAGGTAAAAAGTTAAAAGCTATCACTATATAACCATATAATCTATATGGCAAAATAAGTATAAAAGTAATCGTTCTTTTCTTCATATCATCCTCCATTCCCATCATGAAGCTACCTAGGGCGTGTGAGTTTTGCAAAAATGCCAAAGTAAAATGCACTCAAGAATCAAATTCTAAGTGCTCTGAGTGTAATAAACGAAATTTGCCGTGTTTACACTCCATTAAATACAAACATTTGTTTGCGACGACCGAAGTGACAAATCAAAACAGCAGTATGTTATAAAATTTTCCATAAGAATAAAATTAATCGTTTAATATTTTAATTAATTAATCATTACACATATTTAGATAAATCGGGATTTTTCGTTATTGTGCCTCCCACAACTTACGCAACTTACGCAACTCACGCACCTTACGTCAATAGACGAGCATACAGAAAAAAAAATAAATAATTTATATGACTTCATATTTAAGAATATAAGATAAAAAAAAAAAAATTTAAATGATATATATCATAACCAGTATGAACATTAATATGACCAGTATGAATATTAATATGTAAATAAGTTATTAAGAATTTATAATAAGATTAATTAATTATTTGTTACACTCGAATTATTTAATTTAAACCCTAATCCCCCAAGTTTAAATTTCATGATTATGTATATGTATTTTTTTTTTTCACAATAAAACTTTATTAATATATATATATATTATATACTTTTATAAATAATAATTATTTTTTTTTTTAAATAAACTTATAATTAATAAATTAAAATAACCTTTAGAAATATTACACGACACCACATCCAAGTTGTGCGAAATAATGAAAACTAAGGTTTTAATTTATCACTCGGCTTTCACATCGTTAAAAAATAAGTAAACTCTTTAGAATATTATATATATATATATACATATATACGTACGTATTTCCTTTGATATTACATAAACTTTAAAGTTTCTAACGAAATAACATAATTAACAGTTAAAGTTATTTTTGGCCCATTTTAGGTTATGATATGGCCCAGTTCATGATTCTGGCCAGGTGGTTGGCCACATACGAGAACAGTCAATTACTAAGTTGGTGTATGTCATCCATGGTTCTGGACACATTCGAAGATATTATATTTATGTCGGTCATTATTTAAACAATTATCTGAAGAAGAATATCACTGAAATCTTCAATATCAACTGGGCGATTTACACCTATTATAATGACTCTAGTGAAAGATATCAGGGATCTCCGTCTGATGGCGAACCTTTAGCAAATAAAAGGGGGGGAATCTATTATAAAAGCTTCAAACCTATTGCTTAAGAATTGAACGAATAATAAACATTTAAATTTTACATAAATTGAGTACAGAAATTTTACTTCAAGTGAAATTACTTTTTGATAAATATCATCAAAAAAAAAAAAAAATAGATGCTCTTAATAATACATATATATATAACTTTATTTAGTAGCGTTTTTATTAGTATCTAGTAAATACTACTTAGGAATGAATAAAATAGAATTCAATAATGCAATTTTTTTTAATTAATAAACTAATTATTTATATAATATAAATTCAATTAATAAATATTTTTAATATTTCCTTTATTCTTTACCATTCTTACTAAAAAAAAATTACCTGTTTTTTCTGTGAGACAATGTCATTAAAGATAATAGTTTGCCATTTTGAAATGAGTTGTTCGACAATTTGATCAAAAATAATCCGAAAATAATTATCAAGGTTTATTATTTGTTAACAATCCATTAAAAATAATACCAAGTATTTTAAAGTTCGAAATATATATTGCATCAATTGAAAAAAACCTACAAACCTATTGCTTAAGAATTGAACGAAAAATTAGTGGTCAAAGTCCAAACGTTCGAAAATTATGATATATGGAATTTAAACATTTATTATTATTCGCTCAATTTTTATGCAATAGGTTTAAATCTTTTGTGGTAGATGTGTTATACTTCAAATTTTAAGGTATATTTTATTAGTAAATAGCTAACTTTAATACGTCATAACGTTTGATAATTGTTATCGGATTTTTTCAATAAATTTTGATTCATGCCAAAGAAATGTTTCAATTTTCACTAGTAACTATGAAAATGATATGATATGAATTTTTTTTTGTATATACAATTTGTAGTCAAAAAAAATTTAAAGAATATGTAGAAGATTAGTGATGCATAATACAGTAGAAAATCAAAACCAAAAAAAAAAAAAAAAAAACAGCTTCAATTGTACTTTATTATGCAAAGTTGTACATTTGTGAATTTAAAATTCGTCGGATGCAAAAAAAAAATATTCTATCTGTAACTACTTATTATTTTGCCAACTTGTTTGACCATTTCATATAGGATTGTGCTGATAACATGGCCAACGTTGTTTGAGTACGTTTGCTTCTCCTCACTTCTTGAGTAGTGTGTGTTGTAACAAAATCCTAAATCAAAAGATAATTGAATATTAAGTTTTTTTTTTATAATAGTTAAAAAATAAATAACATATTTACTATAGACTTACTTGTTGTCTCTTAGTAATGCCCGCAGAAATATCCGGTAGACGGGCATTTAATTCATTTTGGAAAGATAATTCACGTACGCCTTTAGAATTAAGCCATCCTTGTAATTCCTTAACCTATATAAACAAATTTCAAAACAATTAAATTAAAAATAATAATAATAATAATTAAACATAAAAAAAATGAAAATGCATAAATCAAATAATAATAGATATACAAAACCTGTGCGATATCATCATAATATCCCCATTGTGTCTGATTATCCACGCTAACATTGCTAGCGTTACGACCAATACCAAATTCTTCAATTTTCCTTCTTTTTTTGAATCGTTGTTCCTCCTTCTCAGTCATTATTTCTAAGTCAAATTCATTCGCACTCTCAACAAATATTCGTCCAGTACCATATTTTTCGGAAACAGCCGCTCCGATATTATCAAAATAATAGTATTTATTATAAAAGCGATCCTTTCCTAACAGTGGAACACGTGGAATAGCATATTTACGCTTGTCCTTTTCGATTTGTTCCTCCTAAATATCAACAACATAATTAACAGTTAATTTCCAAGTTATAAAACTTTATATATATATATATATATATATTTATTTATTTATTTATATTTATTTATACGTACCTTTTTTGAGATCATAATTTCATTTTCTTCGAGTTTACGCTTTCGAATTACGAAATTTTCATCGGGCTTAGTAGCTGAAGAATCTCCTTCATTGAGTAAATTTTCAATAAGTTTGTCCTTATCGATTTCAGAGAGAGAATATAATCTGAAAAAATAAGTTATAAATAGAAAAAGTTAGCGAAAAAATTCAATAATGAAAATATCATTAATTATAAAAACGCACAATTGCCTTTTCTCCTTGGCTAGATTCAATTTTTCTTTGTTCAGTTCTGATAATTTCTCAGAACACCTTTCAATATGATCATGAATTGTTTGGGATTTGCTGACGGTATTGATCAAAAATTCAAGAATTTGTAGTTTGTCAGCTGCTTCGAGGATAACATAATTTTTCTCTAAAGTCTCTTCAATATTAGATTTTCTTCTAGGTACTATTTTTGCGAGTATATGTTCCAAGTTAGGCGTCGAACTAAATTCCATTAACTGTAAAAAGAAAATTTCGTATTAATGTAAGTGTATTATAGTATAAAAATAATGGAAAATATTTTAAATAGAGAATTACCTGATATATACAACCAGCGAGTATGGTTTCCCATCCTTTTCGTCCGTCACTCGATGAAATTAATTTTCTATCCCAATTATTTCCTAACATCTCAAGAATTTCTCTTGAGGTATTTAACATGGCAATTTCATCGTTATTGTCTATTTCCATAGCGTCATTACTAACAGCATGATTAATAACGCGTTTTTTTCCTTTAGAATGCATTCGATCTTTGATGATCGCATTTAATAGAGAAACATGCATTTCGATAGTTAAATAACAGCGAGGATTTGTCACTGTATGATAAAGAGAAGACTCAAAGTCATCAAGTGTACAAAATGACATTCCAAGCGTTTTGCTATAAAAAAAAAAAAAGAAAGAAGAGGATTATTTAGTAAATATATTTCTTTACTATTATACTCGATCAACAAAAATTAAAAAAGTTTACCCAAATATCGTAAAGAAGTTCCAAATGGAAAGCATTATCCCGACGCAATCTTGGGGTACTTTAAAATCGTATACTAATGAAGGCCGTTTTTGAAGTAACGAACGATCCAGCGGAACACCAAGATCTTCAATCGGATACTTGACTAGAAAATGTGAAAGTATTGGTAAGTATTACATTTTGTGTATATATATATATATATATATACTAACTTTTTTTCTGTTCTGCCTTTCTTCGTTTTTGATTTTCTTCCTTTTCTTTTTGTTTACGATTCTTTTCGGCTTCCTTCTTCTTATTTTCAATATCTTGACGTTTCTTTTTTTCTTGCCTTGCCTTTTCTGAGGCAGTTAGTTTCTTATTCGTCTTTTTATTAGTCGACGAATTTTTTTGATTTGATGATTGAATGTTATTCGTTTTTGTTTTCTTATCATTCTTATTTGATGTTCGTACATTGTTACTCGTTCCCTTGTTATTTTTTATTTTCTTTGCTGGAGCAGCATTTGAAGTTTTAGACTGAAATAATCAGATCGGAAGTTAATCTAAGGTATATAAAACGATTGAGTATAAAATTAATATATATTTCATTTAAACCAACCTTTCGTTTTCGACTTTTTTTGAGTGCATAATCTTTAGATTTTTGTAAATCTTCTGGTAATTGAGTCGATATTTTGTACATTTTAGCCAATTTGGACTAAAAATACAAATATCATTTAATTTAGTTCAAGGCCTTTTGTGCTAGAAATAACAATTAACGATTAAATTAATAAGACTAATAAGGTGTGATGCATACTTTAACAACCCATGGCGCATGAAAATATGTATCTTTCGTTGCAGATTCTTTAACGAATTTACGGATAAGAGTTTTTGTGAAAGATAATTTATCGGCACGACTAGAAAATGTAAATAACCGTTAGAAAACAATAAACTTTTGAAAAATGATTTTAATTCTAAAAAAAAAAAAAAAAATATGAATTGATATTAACCAGACTGCATAACTTCCATTGATAGTTTTTGTAATAAATTTCTTGTTCTTCTGTCTCAAAGGGTTTCCATCATCATCTAACATTTGCACCTCATAGAAGATTTGTGATTGTATACTTTTACGCTTAGCTCCTTTGGAACTCGACTCTTTTGGTGTAATTAATTTTACTTCGGAAACTTTTACTTTAACTCTTTTTTTTTCAAATTAAAAAAAATTAATAAGATCAATAAAATAGACTAATACTAATCATGTAATATTAAAAATATCAAAAAAAAAAGTACTTTTGTACATACTTTTTCCTATCGATCATTGCAAATATGACCTCGCCAACAGAATAAAGATCCTTATACTTTTCAAATATTTCGTTTACAACTACATCCAGTCTTTCAGTGTCTATCAAAATGAAATAATCAATAAAAAATAAAAATAAATCAATAAATACGAATAAAATTCAAATAAATCATGTAACATACTAAATTGGATCTTTTCTAATACTGGTGGGATTAGACCCAATGGGAACTTATTCTCTAAAGTTTCACGGTGAGTTTTTTCACTTTCAAGGGCCTCATGATATGTAAGCCCCTGTTTGCCCGTTACCACGCATTGCCATATTCTCTTTTCATATAAAGCTATGCGCTTTAAATAATCCCTTCAAAAAAGTTAAGGAAAAAATAGATTGAAGTATTTTTTACAGTACCATTCGCGTATTGAATATGTTACAAACAGTTTCGAATAAAAAAAAAAACAAAAACAGTTCACACTTTAAAAGTTAATAAATTTTATAAAATTTTGATTCACGAAAAAAAAAAGAGGATACTGGTAGCTCAAGAAAATCTCGGAAGTATAAGAAATAACCCAAACTTGATGGTTGGCATTTTTTGACAAGTTCAATTTTGGTTTTGGAACAAGGTGAATTTGTTTACGAGCGTAAAGGGGCATTTTTGAAAGTATAATATATTTGAAACTGAATTCAATTGGATCAGCGCGATAAAGGAATAAATTGTTTTGATTAAAATTTTATTATGATAAACTTACAAAGGTAAAAACAAAAAAAAAAAAAACAAAAAAAAGATAGAGTATTAAGTTTTTATACTTTAATCAATTTAACAGAATAAACGCCTAAATGTATGAACAACGGAGTATATAAACAATAGAATAGATAGACTACAGAATAAAATTGATAAAAGGTAACGGAAAAAAGTGTGAAATCCGAAAATCAACAGGTATCGAAGTTTATTTTTTTTTGTTGTTTATCGAAGTATATATATATATATATTTTATTTTGTGTCGTACAATAATTTTTAGTACGACATAACGATAATTGAAAAAGTTTATAAATTTTTAAAGGCAGTCTAGACCAATAACAGAATGATAAACTTATACTTTTTTATGAAGATCGGGATTTTATAAGGTTGTCATCTTGAAAAATATATCTATGATGATATATATAAAACTTGACCTGAATCTAAGCTAGATATATAAGAATGAATGAATTTAATGAGTTTTCAAAGTGAAATCATTCTTCACAAATTTATATAATACCGACTACTTTTACTGTCAAGTGAATGCATTGTTCACAATATATTTTAAGATATTTATAAATTTAAAATTAATTAAAATAGTAATTTAAATTTAACCCCTGTTAAATATTGCGTCATTCCGATTTTTTCTGATCAACATTTTTACATTATAAAATAAAAAAAAAATGTGAGGAAAAAAAAAATAAATTAAATAAATGATGAAAAGTATCTTTTAAAAAGTGCTTAAAAGTACTAACTTACTTAACTTACTACAATTAACAATTAATAAATACGTTATTCAAGGGAAAAAAATTTCCGACAATCGTGATACAAACTTTCTATAGAAAAACGTCACTCGTACAAAAATTTCTTGGATATTCGATTTATATAGATTTTAGGAAATCCATTTTGATTTATATGGGATAGATTTGTAGATGTTGAAATTAAATTTTTGAATTTTTGAATAAATTTAATAATTTTTTCAAATCAGAGAACGATTGAAATTTTTAATTTTAAATTAAAATTTCTAATTAATATTTCTAATTAATATAATTAAATATCAATGGTATGGGGGAGTTAAAATTTGGAATCTTTTGATAAATTAGTACTCAAATACTCTTTCTTTTTCTTTTTCTTTTTCTTTTTCTTTTTCTTTTCTTTAATATTATCGTTTTATTTGAAATAAAAAGCCACCAAAAAAGACACGTAAAGGAGCTACAGGAGATGGCAAAACTAAGGCAAATAAAAGAGTTGAGAGAGCCGATTACAAAGAGACCTTTAAGAAGAAACAAGTTGGTGTGTCGGACATGACAATGTTGAGTAAAATTAATAATGAAGCTATCAATGATAATTTGAAGAAAAGATTTGAAAACCATGAAATATATGTAAATAAATAATTTATTTTGATATTTATAAAATAATATATAATTTATATAATTGAATAAAAATCATAATTAATTTAAATTAATTTATGTTAGACATATATTGGAAATGTGTTGATTAGTGTTAATCCTTTTAAAGATTTGGGAATATATACGGATGAGATTTTAAAAAGTTATGTTGGGAAAAATCGACTTGAAGTGAGTTTTAATACCTTTTTATTTTAATGAGGTCCAATCATTTTTTTTTCAAATTAATTGGTCAATTATGAATGTTAATTTTAAATTAACGAATTTAATTAGGAATGTTTAATTTTAAATTATTTAAATTCTTTAGATGCCTCCACATGTATACGCAGTTGCGGAATCAGCTTATTATAGTATGAATAGTTATAAAGAAAATCAATGCATTATTATTAGGTATTTTTTTTTTAATAAAGAAATATATTGTTTTAATTATTTTAATATTTTTTTATATATTTAATTTAGTAAATAAATTAAATCAATTCTTTTAATTCTTTTAATTCAATAGTGGGGAATCTGGTGCTGGCAAAACAGGTTCGTTCTTGACAATTTGGAATTAATTAATCTATATATATATATATATATACATATTATTTTTTTTTTTTTAAAAAAAATCCTTTTTTAATCTGTTCATTATGTAATTGAATTATCAAACAGAGGCCGCAAAAAGGGTTTGTAATAGACAATTAGATAATTTATTGATCTAAAGACTGTATGTTTGCATTATGAAACTCATTTCATATAATAATTCTTATTATAATAGATTATGCAATATATTGCGACTGTAAGTGGTGAAAGATCTTCCTCCATCAAAGAAATTAAAGATATGGTTCTTGCCACAAATCCTCTTTTGGAAAGTTTTGGATGTGCCAAGACACTTAGAAATAATAATTCAAGTCGTCATGTAGGTTTTAAAAAAAAGGAATATAAATTTTTTCATTACCTTCATTAATTTAATATTTTAATATTTTAATAATTTTTTATTTTATTTTATTTTATTTTTTTTTTTTATTTTTTATTTTTTTTAATTTCATTTAATTGGAGAATAGGGTAAATACTTGGAAATACAATTTAATTCTAATGGTGAACCTGTTGGCGCCGTGATTACTAATTATTTATTAGAAAAGGTAAAGTTTAAAATATAAATTTAAAATATATAAAATATAGTTTTTATTTTTTTATTTCTTATCATTAATACTAATGAAATCACTTAAAATGATTCCATAGGGTCGTGTTGTTGGTCAAATTGAGAATGAAAGGAATTTTCATATTTTCTATCAGTTCACTAAGGCAGCATCTGATGAATATAGAAGTATTTATTAATTTTATTAATAATATCAATATTTCATATAAAAAAATCTTTTACTAATTTTATTTTTAATTATTTTTTTAAATAGCACAATTTGGTATTGAAGGACCTGAAAGTTATTTATACACAAATAAAAGTGGTTGTTTAGATGTTGATGGAATTGATGATATTAAAGATTATGATGAAACTTTAGTAAGTTTACTAACTCATCAATTTATTAATTTATTTATTAAATTTATTTAATTAAATTTATTTATTAAATTTATTTAATTATTAAATATATGATTAATTAGTTAATAGCCATATTATATTATCATTTATTATTATTATCATCATCATCATCATTATTAAAAAAATATTTTCTTAATTTAAATTTTGCTTACAGGATGCTATGAATGTTATTGGTCTCACACAAGATGAACAAATTGATATTTTTCGAATGTTGTCCATAGTTTTGTGGTTAGGAAATGTGACATTTGAAGATGGGGACGATGGAGGTTCTGTAATTACCGATGAAAATGGTAAGAAAATTTATTAAAAAATATATATATATTTATTTATTTATTTATAAAGACATTATATATATTTATTTATTTATTTATAAAGACATTATATACAATTGGCTGATAATAATATATTGTTTTATGCTAGTCACGAATTTTATTGCTTATATAATGGAAGTTGATGCAGACACTTTAAATAAAGTATACCAATTTATTTATAATTAGTAATTCTATTTAAATTAGTTCTATATAATTTGCGATATTTTAATTTTTTTTTTTTTGATGTTTTAGGTATTGACTAGTCGTACCCTTGAGGTGGGGGGTCGTAGGACTTCAGTGTTTGACGTTCCTTTAAATCCAGTTCAGGTATTTGTTAAATCTTTAATATATATATATATATATACATATATATTGATAACTGATATTATTTAATAATTATTGTTAATCAATTAATTAATTATTTATAAATAGGCATTAGCTGTTCGAGATGCTCTTGCCAAAGCTATTTACAATAACTTATTTGAATGGATTGTTGAACGTATTAATTCTGCTCTTCGCTCTCGAACTACTTCCTCTTATGTCATTGGTGTTCTTGACATTTATGGTTTTGAGATTTTTGATGAGAATAGTTTTGAACAATTATGTATTAATTATGTCAACGAGAAACTTCAACAGATTTTTATTGAACTTACTCTCAAAACGGAACAAGAAGAATATGTTAGAGAGAAAATCAAGTGGACACCCATATCATTCTTTAATAATAAGGTGGTTTGTGATCTAATCGAAGAAAAGCGTCCACCAGGAATTTTTGCTGCCTTAAATGACGCATGTGCCACCGCACATGCTGATTCTGACGCTGCTGATAATTCTTTTGTACAAAGACTTGGTTCTCTAGGTTCCAATCCACATTTTGAGTCAAGAGGAAACAAATTCTTAATTAAACATTATGCAGGAGATGTGCTTTATTCCATACCCCAAATGACTGATAAAAATAAGGATCAATTGGTGAAGGATTTGTTAGAGTTAATAGCAACTACTAGTAATGGATTTTTAAATCAACTTTTCCCTCATCAAGTCAACCGAGATAATAAAAAACGACCTCCTACAGCTAGTGATAAAATTAAGGTATGGAATTTTTTTTATAAAAAAAAAAAAAAAAAACTATTTTAATAATTATTAAATTTCATTTGCCTGTTTTATAATAAATATTAAAAATATTTGTTACAAAAATAAAACAGTCATCAGCAAACTCTTTGGTAAATAATCTCATGCAAGCACAACCATCTTACATTCGAACCATAAAACCTAATCAAAATAAAAGTCCATCAGAGTACGACCAAAAAATTGTGTTGCATCAAATTAAATATTTAGGTTTGAATGAAAATATTAGAGTTAGGCGTGCTGGTTTTGCTTATCGGCAAACATTTGAAAAGTTTATAGAAAGGTAAATAAGGTAAATTTTGGATTTTTAAACCTTTTTATTTCATTATTTAATGAAACCTCATTTATTTTTATTTTTTTTTTATTTTTCTTAATTCCTCTAGATTTTATTTATTATCAAAAAAAACGTCGTATGCCGGAGAGTGTATTTGGGAGGGTGATTCAAAGTCTGGTTCCTCATGTATTTTGAAAGAATGTGGTATTGCCACTGAAGAATGGCAAATGGGTGTTACCAAAGTATTTATTCGTCATCCTGAAACTGTAAGTTTATAATTTGAAATTTGATATCTAATAACTCTTTTGTATTCCCTAATTAAATACTCTTCAAATACTCATAAATTACCCATCATTCATTTAATTATTATTATAAAAGATTTGGGCATTGGAGCATCTTCGTGACAGATATTGGCATAACATGGCACTACGTATACAACGTGCTTATCGAAATTATGTTAGATACAAGATTGAATGTGCTATTCGTATACAAAGATGTTGGAGGAAGAATAAAGATCAAATAGTTTATGTACAATTACGCGATTCTGGTCATGAGATTTTGGCAGGACGTAAAGAGAGGCGAAGATTTAGCTTGATAAGTATGAGAAAATTTACAGGAGATTATTTAAATGTTGGAGTTTCTGGTGGTAGTGAAGATGCTATCCGAAATGCTTGTAATCTTGGTGGTAAGTTTTTTTTTTCTTTGTTACTAATGATAATCTGATTTTTTTTTTTGTCTTATTTATAAAAATTATTAATTATTTAAAATTTAATGTCTTAAAAGCAAATGAAAATGTAGCATTTAGTAGTAAGATTCAGTTACTTGTCTCGCGACTTGGTAGATCTAGTAGACCAAGTCCCAGATATTTGGTTTTGGTAATTTTTTTATTACTTGTTATTTTCGTTATTGATATTTTTATTCCTATTATTATTTTTTTAATTAATATCGTCATATAAAATTTTATCAATAGACAGACAAATCCATATACTTGTTAATTTCACAGATCGAAAGAAAACTTTTGACAATTACGGTTGAACGAAATATATCTCTGCTTGCCGTAACAAGAGTTAGTTTATCAAATCTTCGTGATGATTGGGTGGTGTTACACGTCAATAATCCAACCAAAGAATTAGGAGATCCTATATTTTCATGTTATTTTAAGACCGAATTTCTTGTGCACTTGCGTCAACTTACTGGGTCAAGGATTAACATTGATATTACAAACTCCATAGAATACACGAAAAAAATAAATAAAACTGCTAATATCAAATTTATTAAAGATGAAAATGTCAAGAAAGACGATATTTATAAGAGTCATACTGTACACGTGTGTACGGGTGAGCCAGCAAATAGCGTGTCGGATCCTCCCTGTCCCAGAAAAGAATCACCTTCGAAACCCAAAGCCACCACTCGTCCAAAAAAAAATGTTACAAAACCAGCAACTAGAGGTGTTTCACAAAAAACTCCTAAAGTGGTTTCGACTTCATCCAGATCAACAACTTCTAGCGGTTCTAATGAATCAGTTTCACGAAGATTATCGAGTACAAGTCAATCATCATCAAGAGGGAGTCGACCTGCACCGCCACCACCTCCTCCACAATCGCCATCAAAAGAACCTACATACAAAGCGAAATTCGATTTTGTAACGGAAGATACTGGCGAATTATCATTTAAGAAAGATGATATATTAGAAATTATGCAAAAAGATGATAATGGATGGTGGTTAGCTAAGAAAGATGGAGAAAAAGGTTGGGTACCAAGTAATTATTTAGAGGAGGTTAAGGTTACACCTAAAGCTGTACCAGTTCCGGCCAAGCGTAAGCCACCACCTGTTGCACCAACCCAACGGCAACAACGATCATCTTTGACTACAAGAAAGGATGTAGAAAGTGATAAAGAGCCACAAACTTCGACCAATTCGGACGCTGGTACAAAAAATAAATATAGGAATAATGCGTCAAACAATTCACCAGTGGCAGTATTTCCAGGAATGGCTTCCGGGGGTGTTCCTTCATGGAAAAAAACAAATAAGGTATTTATTAAAATGATATTATTTTTAAAAGTTTTTTTTTTTGACAATTCTAATGCAATTTCATTTCTTACAGGCTGCTGAAAACCACGAAGAAGCAGAATCCGACCAACCAGTTACACCGGCAAGACCTACTGCAACCAACTATTGTAAAATATTTATATTTATATAATATATATATATATTGTATGTGTATTTTTATTTCATTTACTAAAATAATTAATTTATTGTTAATAGCGGGTCGTAAAGCAGTACCTTCAATACAATCCAAACCAAATATTCCAACAAAAAGTGTTTCATCAAAACCATCTTCTAGTGGAGAAAGACCAGTTCCTCCTCCCAGACCTGAGAGTAGTGGAACAAAAGTATGCATTTTATATTATTGTAATTTTTTTTTAGGGATTATTAAAAAGAATTTTTTTTTTTTTTTTTTTAGCCTTCACAATCTAAACTTACTCCTCAACAATCTCTTGCTGAAGCGGTAAATATTTATTTATATTATGAAATATTGTTGAATTTCTATAAAATAAAATAATAAGTTTACTGAACTGATTAAATTTTGATTTGGTGTTACGATAGCTAATGAAAAGAAATCGACTGACATCCGGAGAAGCTGACGATGATGATGATGATGACGATGAATGGAATTAATAATTGGTAGATATTGTGATATATTTAAATTCGGGAGGTTTTTTTTTTTTGAATTTTGATTTAACAAATTTAACAATTTTTCAATCTTTAATTAATTAACTAGGCATTTTATTAGTTAGTTATTTATTTATTTCTAACGTTCATTTTTATATTTCTATAATTTCTATAAATTATTAATATATTCAAATTAAAAAAAAAAAGTTTAGTTAAAATAGAACGTTTCATTTCATAAATTTTTCATTTTTTTTTTTTTAAAAAAAAAAAAAATCAAATAAAGAAAATTATTTATTCAACATGAATTTCTAAATATATATATATATATTTATATTTTGATATCGATAGTTATTATCATTGTTCTCAATTTTTTTTATACTTTCTAAGTATAGGTTGTTTGATAATTAATAAGAAAACATTATTTTTAACATTAAGATATTTAATTGCTTATTAAAAGGAAAATATATAATGAATTATTATATAAAAAGTTCTTCAAATTATCTATTATTATTATTCTTCTTCTTCCAGTTGACTATCATTCAAATTTCTTAATCTTTCACTTTCTTTATCTCTATTTCTTCTACCAATTACTTTAGCAATTTCACTAAACATTAATTGAATAATTAAACATATGAGGATTTTTACCCAACCAAATATTGGAATTGGTGTAAGGGTTAACCAATCTTTAACGCCTAATTATCAAAGAAAGAAATTTAGATTAAGACAAAACAATTATTTTTAATTATTATTATTATTATTATTATTATATATAAATATATATATATATAATTATTTTTCAAAAGATTATTTACCTGGTACATAAACACCGATTATTAATGAAATAAATGATCCAAATACACCAACAATCATCCACTATTATAATAATAAAACATAAATATTACTTTCAATATTCAAAAATATATATAATAAAAAAAAAAACCAAATGAATCTATAAAAAAATTTTACCTTATTTCCAAGAATTCCAGTCTTAAATGCACTTTCATATAAAGTTCTCGACAAGAATCCTTGAAACAATTGCATAGTAGTTAAAGTTGAAAATGCCAATGATCTAGAATCCGCCAATGATAAATGTTCAATATGTAAAGCAATTTCATATATTCCAAATGTTGCTAATGCCATTACAAATGCTTGCATTATAAGAATTGAAGTTGTGTATAAGTCAAGAATTCCAGCTTTAGGATTACGTGGTTTTCGTTTCATTATACCTCCTTCAGCTGGTTCAACACCAAGTGAAATCGCAGGTGGAACATCAGCGATAATGTTGGCGAATAAAATCATAATTGTGGTAAAAGGTAATTCCACATTGATTATTGCACAAAGTAACATCACAACAATTTCGGCTCCATTACAACTTAAAAGGTAAACAATAAATTTGAGAATATTATCAAACACTTGTCTTCCTTCTTCAACTGCTGCTACTATGGTAGAGAAATCATCATTTGTTAGAACTATATCTGCTGCTTGTTTCGTAATTTCGGTACCACTTATTCCCATAGCAACACCAACATCGGCAGCTTTAATTGCAGGAGCGTCTAAAATAAAAAAATTAAAAAAATTAAAAAATCTGTTTTTACTTTCAAAAAAAAAAAAAAAATTAAATTTATGAAATATGTAAAAAAAAAAAATTACCATTAACACCATCTCCTGTCATTGCTACGAAATTACCAAGATTTTGCAAAGCCTGAACTATTTTGAGTTTATTATCTGGACTAAAATATTAATGATGTTAAAACTCGTATATTAAAAAAAAAAAAATCAACTAAAAGATAGAAGAGTCAACTCAATTACCTAACACGAGCAAAAACATTAGGGAACGGATTTAATTCTGAAATTGCTTCTTCTGAGAGAAGGTCAAGTTCTGCACCACGAATTGCACGACTCTAAATAGGAATGATGTTTTGTTCAATAACCAACAGCAATAATAACGATATTATTATTAATAATATAGATATTCACCATATTTGGAACACCTGGTTCTATTATACCAATATCTGTTGAAATTGCAGTAGCTGTTGCAACATGATCACCAGTTATCATAACAACACGAATTCCTGCTTCTTTACATTTTTGGATAGAGTCCTTAACAGTTTTTTTTGGTGGATCTATTAATCCGATCAATCCAACAAATGTCAAATTATTTTCTGAAAATGATGGTGATGAAGAATCAGGATGAGGAAGTTCGGTAGTTGAATCAATTTTATCAATATTATCATTCTCTTCATCATTATTATTATCATTATCATCATTATTATCATTACTGGGTGAAGAAGAAGAAAAGAGTGGAAATTCTTCTTCTACTTTAACTGATTTGTATGCTAATCCAAGAACTCTTAAACCACGTGAAGCCATTCTTGAACTTTGTTCTGATACTTTATCAATGAATTCATCTGATAATTCAATAGGTCTACAACCTTCTTTTTGTCCTAGAATTAAATCAAATCGATCAATTTTTGGAATATCCGGAAGGTGATGCGTACATTTATGAAGTAATTCTTCCGGTGCACCTTTAACTAAGACTAAATTTGTAGGTTTTAAATGTTCTAATAAAGTTGGATTTGTAATTTTATATACTACACTCATAAGTTTACGTTCACTATCAAAAGGATTCTCATGAATTTTAACAAAATTATACTCTTTTTCCCAATAATCTTTTGAAATTCCTCCTTTTTGTGCTGCAAGTACCAAAGCCACCTTTAAATTTATAATTTCGAAATTTTCATAATAATAATAAATAATTTCCATCATAAATAATTACATAAACGATTAGTAAAAATAAAAGATAAATAACAACATAAACAAAGATAAACTATAAATAATAACCTCTGTTGGATCACCAACTCCTTTCCATTCGTTATCTGATTCTTTATCTTTTATAACCGAAGAATTATTACAAAGAGATGAAACCATCAATGAAGCAATTAATTGAGGTGGTAAGTCTTTTGAATTACGCGATAATTCTCGAGGTTTTAATGACTTATAATCAACTTTTTCAATTTGTTTCTCATTATTTTGAGATAACGAAAGTTGATCAGTAGAATTTCTACTCGTTTTAAAAGTTCTTTGAAGGTATTCCGGAGAAGAATATATTATTCCACCTTCATTTGGATCCATGGATGTTGATTCAGTAAATGAATAAAGTGAACTATCTGCTGTCCATAATTCTGATGGTCCCATCTTTCCTTCAGTAAGTGTACCAGTTTTATCGGAACAAATTACGGTCACACTACCTAAAGTTTCTACAGCAGGTAATGTTCTCACAATTGCACAACGTTTTGCCATACGACGAACACCTACAGCCATTGTCACTGTTGTTACTGCTACAAGACCTTCGGGAATAACTGATACAGCCAAACTATAAAATAAAATAATAATTAAAATTTTTGTTTAAATAATTCTTTACCGTAAAATATATATATATATATATATATTTTGATTAATTATAAATCATATACCTTAAACCAACATTTATCATTGCTTTTGCCTCATGTTTATAAACGACTCCAATAATTATAACGAGAGCACATAAAAATATCGAAACAGCTACAAGTAATTTTCCAAGTTTTGATAATTTACGTTGAATCGGTGTTATTGTTGTTTTGGATGATGATATAGCTGCACTAATTTTACCAATCTATCAAATAGACGAAAAACTTATTTCAATAAAAGAAATGTATAAAAGAAATGTGATAAAAGAAATTTGATAAAAGAAATTTGATAAAAGAAATTTGATAAAAGAAATGATGATATATGATGACATAGAATACCAAAGAAATTATTATAGGTTACATACCTCAGTATCCTCGCCAGTTCTAACCACAAGTCCTTTACCACGTCCCTTCGCAACCATAGTTGACATAAATGCATTACCCTTACAGTCACCAAGTGGAAGATTTCTTGTCTAAATAATATTAATAATAAATATTTATAAAATAATAATATAATGATAATAATATTAATATAATAATAATATAATGATAATAATATATATAGATAAAATAAATGAATTATAAAAAAACAATTTAAATAATTTACCCTTGTCCAAATTTTTTTGACATTTTTAACCACAGGAAGACTTTCTCCAGTAAGAATTGATTCGATTATTCCCAAATTTGAACTTTCCACTATACGTACATCAGCAGGAACAGCATCACCTTCTTCTAATATTACAATATCACCTGGGACAAGTGAGGAAGAATCGATAACTACATGTTGACCATCTCGAATAACTTGAGCCTTTTTTATTTTTATTTTTATTTATTTATTTATTTTAATATAAATATAAAATTGAGATTTGTTTTAAAAATAAATAAAATAAAATCTGAAACCAATCATGTGAGTGATAAACATACCTGGGGAACTGTTAATTTTTGTAAAGCTTCTAAAGCTTTATTCGCTTTATATTCTTGAGTAAATCCAATGATAGTATTAAGTACAATGACGAAGAGTAATACACTCATTCCTTTAAAATCTCTTTCAACTGCGGTAACAATTGCGGCGGCTAACAATATTAAAACCATGAAATCCTTTAATTGATTAAGGATCATATGTAAAATTGATGGTTTTGGTGGTTCCGGAAGTTTATTTGGACCATAATGATCCAATAAAGGTTGTATATTAGAAGATGAAAACCCATCAGTTAATGAAGTGCGAAACATTTTAAGTAAACGTGTTACGTCACGATCAAAGTATAATGCTATAATAATTATAATAATTACAATAGCATAATAAAATAAAGTATGTAATATATATATGTATTTATATATTTTTAAGGTTAAAGGTTGAAGTAATTTATTAATAATAATTTATAATAATTCGAGAAATTAGAAAAAAAGACTTACATGGAGGAGGAAGTGCAACCCCATGAAGAGGAGGCATGCTTGGTTTTTTTATTTTGTCAGTAAATTCTTTAATGACTTTTTCAACATCGCTTTGGTCATCATCTTTTACCAATTCACGCCAATCTGAAAATTGCGGAAACCAATTCGTTAGCATATATATTACTGCTACTGCGGCTTGCTTTACTTCGGGATTTGCATCTTTACGACATCTGCGATGAAGTTTTAATGCATGATGGAGATCAGATACATTCTTTTCACCAACAGCACGACGAAATTCTTCCACTAAAAAAAAAAGAAAAAAAGAAAAATAATGAATCAATCATTTTCACTTAATAATCATGTGATCAAATCAAAACAATCAACCAACCTTCTTCAAGAAATTCCCCAAATAATATAAATGCTTCATTTGCTTCCGCAGTCATTTTTCTCTTAAGTAAACCACCTTCAGAAGCGGACATATTTAACAATAAACCTTCACATAATCTTTTCATTATTTCATAATCCAAATTTGGTAGTCTACCGCCTTTAAGACGATAATCCACCACATATCTTAATCCAGCTAACACATCTTCAAGTGATAGTTGTAAATTTTCTTTAACATTAAACAAGTCGTTCACTGTTAAAAAAAAAAAAAAAAACAAATTGCAAGATTTTATCATATCATGATCAATAACAGATAACAGATAAAAGATTAAAATAATTATTAATAACAGTAAAGAGAAATAATTTTAATTTTATTAACCATGAATATCAATTTGATGTTCAATAGAAGCTTGACCATCGCGAATTGATTGAAGTTCAAGAGTTAAAGATTGTGACCGAGACATTTACAAGAAATTTCAAGAGAAATTTCAAAGATGAACAATCCAAAAGATAAAAAAATAAATTCTGGGAAAATTTAAAATTGTTTGTATAATAGTTTTTCAATTGCAACAATCAAATCCGAATCATTGTTTATATAGATTTTAATGCAGCTGAATAACAATCAAATCCGAATTTCCCTTTATAAAACATTTTCATGAGTAATTTTCCGAATTGAGATAGGATGAATATAGAATATTCTCATCAATAAATAAATACACACAGAAATAGATAATGTACAAATGCGTGTAACAAGTTAATTCTTTTTTATTTGAGAGGTTATTTCAACGGATTACATAATTTTAGACGTTGTAATTTATTTTGTAAAAAAAAAGAAAATTCTATTGAAACAAAATGAATTATATAAAAAACTATTATTCATTAGTTATTAAAGAGCTTATTCTTCATAAATGAATATTTAATGTTTTAATTATGGATTCCACAAGAACCTTCGGTAGTCGCAACTCCTTTACCACGAGTTTCGTTGATCATAGCTAAAATAAGTTTTTGTGAATGAAAATGATTACCATTATTTATATTATTATTATTATTATTGTTGAGAAAAAAAGAAAGAAAAAATTATCACTTACTTCTATCCTTCGAAGCATGTCTATCATGACCTTTATGATCACGATGAAAATTGCCTTCTTCCAGAATTATACGTATAACATCTTCAATTACTGAAGTACCAAATGCATTTTCAAGTTTCCATTTTGATGGACGACCAGCCATACCTTCATTTCCTCCCGTCACAGTTTCAAAGACATCATAAGCTACAAGAAACAAGTGAAACTTATTTATTATTTCTTACCAAATAAATAATAAGAGATAAAGAGAATAAATGATAAAAACAATAATTAACCTTCGATACATTCAGTCATAGAAATGGTTTTGTCTTTACGCCATTTTTTGATCTATTTTATGTAAAGATTTTTTTTTTTTTTTGTGTTAGAAAATAATTAAAAAAAATATATAAATTATTAAACATTTTTTCATTATATATTTACTGCTTCAGGATAACCAAACACAAAAAATTCTTCACGACTATTTGGTACTTTATAAATGATGCGCGTAGTATCTTGTGAGATAGACATAATGATGAACTTTTTGGATAATAGAATTTCTTGGATAATTATTTTATAAATTTTATTTGAACTTGAATAATTTTGAATAATTTGAATAATTTGAATAAGACGAATCGCTATATTTATTTTTTTAAAATAAAAGAATTACGTCAATATGACTAAATAAAAATAGTGTGATTCTGACAATAAATGTATGTACATAACGGTTAAGATTATTTATTTATTATTATTATAGTTATTTATATTATTTTATGTTTATAAATGAAATATACATATTAAGATTACAAAGATGGTTACAGGTTTAGATGCTAATGTTTGTTTTTGCAGCAATATATTAAATTGCATTAATTAGTTCATTCAACTTTATTTGGAAACTGTGTTATTGTATTTAAACTTTATTTCTGTAACTAAATTAAAAAATATTTATTTTTCTTTAAATATATCGCATAATCCAAAAAAATGTGTCCACACCAAATTTGAATTTGTATTTATTCTATTCCTTTCTTTCCTTTTTCCTATAATAATAATATTGTCAAAATTTCACTCATTCCTTTTACATTCTTTTTTTTATAAATTTTGATATTTTAAAAATAATTAAAATAGAAATAGATAAACGATACGATATACGGTATATAATATATATATATATATATTAATATTATTATTTACATTTAACGATCCAATTTATAATTATAGAATGTCATCTTCTTCCTCTTCCTCTTCTTCTTCTTCTTCTTCTTTCTCCCCAACTTCTACCGCCATCATTAACTCTGATATCATTAACTCTGATATCATTAATTCTCCCCTTTCCTCACCTAAATTATTCCCTACTACTATTATTACGAATATGAATACGAATGCGAATACTAGAACAACTAACACCAACATAACCACCATCACCACCACCACCCAAGAGATCGGTGATGATCTTTCTTTACTTGAACAATTTAAATTCATTGAAGGTCGTCGATACCCAAATGAAAAAAATGTTCATTATTTTCCCAATGATGAAGAAGAAGTTGATCGATCAAGAGTTGAACATTATATTTGTTTTGAAATTTGGAAAGGGAATTTTTCATCCCCAATGAAATTAAGATTGGAAAATGGAAATGTTAATGTATTGGATATTGGGTATTTATTATAATGAATTAATTTAAAATATTTATATTTTTTATTTATTTATTTATAAAAATTAAAACTTTTTTTTTTCTTTATTTTTTTTTTCTTCAGATGTGGTCCTGGCAAGTTATTTAAACATAAATAATTTTTTTTTACATATACAATATTTTTTACATTCATAATATATATATTTTTTTATCATTACATTATATATAATTTCTTCTTTTTTTTTTTTCCTCAGGTACCTGGATTTTAGATTTAGCCGCTTCTTATACATCCTCAACATTTGTAGGTGTAGATTTTTCACCTATCTTTCCTAAATCATCTTTAACCCCACCTAATGCAGGTTTCCTTCGTCATAATGTATTAGAAGGTTTACCATTTCCTGAATCATCATTTGATTTCGTTCATCAACGATTTTTGGAATGGTCATTTGGTCAATTAGGATGGGATGACTTGTTTTTAGAAATTGTTCGAATATTAAAAGATGATGGATGGTTTGAAATTATGAATCATGTTTCGGATTTACGAAATTCTGGACCTCGTACTCAAAAGTTATCAAAAGCTTGTAAATATATAAATATATTATTATTTTTTTTTTTTCAAAAAAATTAAAAACATTATTATTATTTAAAATTATTATATTTAAAAATATTAATTAAATATTAATTAAATTTAAATGTAGTTACTGAATTCCTTGAATCAAAAAATTTAACAATTCCTACCACTGACTACATAAGAAATTTCTTTAAAAAGACCCAACAAATCGAAGATATACAATGTGAAGAAAGAATGTATCCACTGGGGAAATGGGCAGGTCGAATTGGTCAAATTGTATGTATTATCATAAATATTTTAATTGATATTTTTTTTTTTTTTTTTTTTTATCTTGATTCATTTTTTTTTTTCAAAATTTCAACGAACAGGCAAAATTAAACTATAATTGTGCAATAAAGGGAATGAAAACATTTTTACTTCCATTCATGAACATCACCGATGAAGAATTTCAAGCATTACTTGAAGATTCCGAGAATGAGGTTAATGATTATCAAACTTATATATGTACATATAGAGTATTTGGAAGAAGAATCGCAAGGCCACTTTCACCATTATCATCTTCTTCATCTTTGTTATAATTATCACATCATTACAACAAATTGTGTTATTTTATATATATACAGTATATATATATTGTATTTGGAGATATTAAATTTGTAGAATTTAAAAGGAATGTTATTAGTTACAAGTTTTTGTTATATATATTCAAATTTATCAAATTTATAAATAATTAAAAATCAATAGAATAGTAAATATTAAATATTATATAATAACAACTATCATCAATAGAATTCATTCTTAGCATTATTATTCTTATTATTTACTAGAAATTATGGAAAAAAAAAGTTATGGAAAATTGATTTACATTTATCATAATAACATTTCGAATAATAATTATTAAGTTATAGAAATTTATAGAAATTATAGAAATAGAAATTATAGAAATAGAAATTATAGAAATAGAAATTATAGAATTCTAAAATATTTTTAGAACATTATCTTAATAATTATTATTCAACATTTATATGAATTGCTATTATTTTTACTAATAAAATGTAAAAAAAAAACTTTTATTATTTCCAATAAGTAAGAGTAATCTATAGGTAATCGCCGTACCTTGTTTTATAATTCATATTTAATTTGATTTTTTTTTTGTTATAAATATTTGTCAGGATTTTCACAAACTATTTGAAGAAGAATTTAAAGAATTGAAGATTGTTTCTTCTTTTTCTTCAAATTTTACTTTGATACGATCGATCTCTAGAAATGAACCAATAGTAAAAAAAAAAAATTACTTAACGAAGATCTACATTCCTTAATAGAGTCCATCAACAATGTTGAAACTAGATTAGCTGATTTTTCAAAATTTTATTAAAACGAATTGTATAACCAAAATGGATATATTATATATTTGGGGTTGTCTACGCACATTATAATTTTATATCTTCAAATGAAAAAAGAAATAGAATAGTATGAATCAGTAGTCTTGTCACTATAATAAGTTTCATCACTTTCATTTTTAGCACTATAAAATAACTCTTTCAAATTCGCACGACGCAACTTGCTTTTACCTCTTATTATTTTTTTAGACTGTGCCTTTTTAGATTATATCAGTATCCGTTTTAAGCGAAAAAGTAGATATAAGAGGCAATCTATGGTTTTACGGGAATGGAAGCGTTTTATATTTATTAAAAAAATAATTAAAATTAAAAAAAAATTAATTAAAAAATTTAAAAAAAAAATTAAAATAAAATAAAATAAAAATAATTAATAAAAAAATAATAATAATAACTAAAAAAAAATTAAAATAAAAATAAATTAATTAATAAAATAATAAGTTAAAATAAAATTAATAATAATTAAAAAACAATAATAAAAAAAAATTAATAATCAAGAAATCAACGTTCTTATCCTGCCTTGTTGTGCCGTGCTATGCTCTTGATCTTGATCCACCGCTTCGTTTTACTTCTCTCCGGGCGGGTATCATATTTATAAAAATTGTTTGTCTAACGAGGCGCAGATGTGTTTTTTCTATATTTTCTATTATAAGTTAAATTTATTTATTTATTACGTAATAAACAAATAATGTGAAGACAATAGTTTGATTGTTAATAAATTGAGTTAATAAAATAGAATTTAAATGTATCTATCTATATCGATTGTATTCCCTATCACAGGGCATCTCCTGTCAATTTGAAAAGTTTAAACGAAAGAAAATTTAATTTAATGTTTTACAAAAATAAAGGAAATAGGCTTTCCCAATTTTTTAATTATATAAATTTTTTTTCTTGGTATTATGATAAATCAAGGCAATAACTTGATTGTCTCGACCAAGAGGCCATTTATGAAAGGTCTTTTGATTAAAATAATCAGTTCAATTGCATTGCAATAAATTATGGGTAATAGAGCAATAGCTTAGTTGCCTTTACCAAAAAGCCATTACTAATCAAAATCAATTATTCACCTGAATAAAATCAAAAAAGGATCAAGTTGCGATGGTTTAATTAGATGAGAAAAAAATGATGGCTTCCCTGCAGATTAAAATAATTCCCATCCAAAGAAAAAATTTGAATCTTACATAATAAAAAAATGATAATAAAAGAAAAGTATTTATTGTATACCACCACTAAATTTTCTAATAAAAGTGAGTTCCCAATCTCATAAATGAAAAAATATAATCAATAAAAGCTACATTATCATTAAAATCTTCACCCGTAATAAAAATTCGTAGCTATGTCATCTATATTTATATCATTCTGCTTCACGGGAAATGACAAGTATATGTCTGGGAGTGCCTTATATTGGATAAAAGGTGATTAAGATATACATATTGATGGCTTTACTGGTGTTGCAGCTTACAATATTGGTGGAAAAACATTACACTCATTATTAAAAATCTGATTCCATGATGGAAGATACGAAACTTTAATCAATCTCAACAAAGAAGACAAAACCAACCTAAAAAAAATGGAAGCAATAATAATAGAAGAAATCTCAATGGTGAATGGAAATTTGTTCACTTTATTAATGATATCTTTTCCAAATTCATAATAACAATAAAGTATTTGGAGGAATACCAACTCTAGTGATAGGAGACTTAGCTCAACTACCCCAGCAAGGCCAAAATACGTCATTCAATCTCCAGCCTGATCACCATTCTTTCCTTTATTTTTAATTGCACCACAATATCAATGAGAAGATATCAAATTTTATAATGTTCAAGAAATATGAACTGGCCACCAATCAAGAAGACAAAGAATACTATTCAATCAAAAATCAATACGAGTAATGATCTTGAAAAATTCTTTAGTACTGCTCATATTGTCAAGCCGCCTTCAACATAAATCAACTCCTGTATAGCTACCTCCTATTTGATCACACAACAAATGAGTCCCTCACCTTGTATCTGAAGATATCCTAGACTTTGAAATGCTAAATGAAAACAATTTGATCTCCCATTTTAAACACTCAACAACCTAACTCATATTATACACTTACAAGGTGCATGTGTCATGTTTCTAAATAACAAACTTTTCAATGATGATATTTGCAATGGTTCAATTGGAATAATAACAAGCATTATTGGAAATCAAAATGTAGAAGTAACTTTTTCTATCTTTACAAACTTAAGCAAAGTCATCGTTCAGGAAGAAACTGTCTATTTTAATATACAGTAGATGGAAAACGTGCATCAAGAAAACAATTCCCACTTCAGAATGCCTTTGTCCTCACTTCTGATAAAGTGCAAGGTTTAACATTACTTCAAGTAACTACTTCCATTGATGAATTCTTATTTGCAGAAGGTCAAGCTTACATCGCAATGAGTCGTGCAACTTCATGACAGAACCTCCGTATTATAAACTTTGACTGCAACTACTTGATATCATCAAGGGCCACTCTGAACAAATACAAAAGATTAAACGGGATACATGCTAAAGGGTTCCAAAATTTACAATAAAAATTTGAACTCGTAAATCTTGTAGTCAAATCCTATCACATGTTCTTTTAACTAATTTAAAAATTAAAACCTGTATTATTTCCTATACTCATGACGTAGCTCACAGCAACCATACTTTTTTTTTTTTTTTTATATCAACGGAGTCTTGCTCCAATAAACTTTATTAATAGATTAAGCAGCAACCATACTTTGTTTGATGCAAATCTTTATTTGATATACAATACCAAGGTAATTCTATTCTAAAAATATCTACTATTATATTATAGTGTGTTACAAGTCACCTTAAATTTTGACATTTCCGCTGATTGTTATGGTTGCGTCAATCAAAAATCTGTGAAGGAACCAAAGAACCATGCTATAAATCAGATTTTCACTCCTCCACCTCCCATTCCAAAAATTAGAAGAGTAATGGATGAATTAGAGAGGCATCTTCGAAAAGAGGAAAAAACATTTTATTCTGCAATAAAAAGAAACAAACATTATTCTACCATTAATAATATTCTGACTCTGATACTTCTGACTCAAACACTATTCCTTCGTCCAGTTCAGGATCAGAAATTATACATGTTCATAAGACCGCATCTGTAAAGAAGCTTCCTAAACGAAAACATCGCAAAGGGAGGATGTGTAACAAATTATTAATGCATTAATTATTTTTCCGGAAGGGTGAATATTTTAGGATCACATCAATAAATGTGCATAAGGTTCGAAGATAACATTAATTTCTTAAAGATAATAAATATTATCCACTTTCGTTATCCTTATTTTTATTGTACGTTCACGACACATTTATATAAGAAATTGATTTTGATAGAATAAACGTCCAATTTTGGAATAATATTCTTTCATTTGTTATTTATTTCATATGGTTTGAATCTTGTGATCACCTCGAAGCTGAGCGATAACGTTTTCTTAAAATTAATATTCACTATCTAAATTTTTTTCACATTTATTTCTTATCAATTAATGCACAAGACATAAGTACGTTGAAAAAACTATATAAGGTTGATAAAAGTTTTCAATATATATTTTATTTCACAATAAAGTAATATTTTTCCACAAAAACTATGAAATTTCGGATAGTGTCATTTATCTAACCCCTATTTTAAATTAGTAATCAACATAAGAAATTGCTACATTTAATCTTTCGTTCAAATTTTTATTATAAAAATTATGAAATATTTTGTTCAAAGAATTGTGATGAATCCAGAATTTTTGATTACTGACTCTGTAACCAAAAACTCAGATTCCCTATCCTATTTGTGGCTTGTTATAATTGAATAAATATTCTACATGTTATCGTTTATTCTCAAATAAATTATTTATATTTCTTTATATGATCCGGACCATAAAGATTTGTACCTCGGAAATAAAATATAGAACTAGAATATAAAAAATCCGTGTAACTATCCCTTACATTAGTTAGTTATTGAGATATTGGGGGGCTGCGATATCTGATTGGGAATATGCATAATGACGATATATTTTTGCCCCCCAAAAAAAATCCTCGGGTGACCTAAAGTCCAACCTGTCACAGTACTTTTAAAGACAAAAATCTTAAGTGCTAACAAATGGGAGAACAAATTTCTGCACCTATCTTATGCCAGTTCTTTCTGAGAAAGAGTACACATTATCTAAATAAAGCTTCTTCGAATGTTGTTGCATCGGTTGGGTCAGTCAATTGAAAGTATTTGGGCAGTTGTTAAAGGTGAAGTCGCAAGATCAGGTTTACATCTGAACCTTTTATCTGTTAGAAACAAATTGTTAGATGCATTTAAAAAAAAATTACCTCACAAGTTACAATTGGATTAAAAATTTGATGATTATGATAACTTTGATGACGAATAGTTTAATATAAAATTTATATTTTTTTATATGTATTGATGTATTTGAATTTTCTAAAAAAAAAAATTACTTAATAAAAAAAATTTTATTACTATTTTTTTGCTGGATCATATTTATTTATTGTTAATTTTTATATTGTTGTAATAGATTTTTATGCGTCTGTATAATATATTGCTGATATTTGAATTTTTGCGGACGCCTTTTTTTTATGTGCGGAGGTTTCAATTTTGTGCTAGTGCACATTCCGCACATTGAATTTCAAACACTGGTATTAACTATCCGTTTTAAACTATTTATATTTATCTTTACAAAAATAAAGTTAGTACAAATTAAAAAGTAGTCATTTTATTTTTTTATATTGAAAAAGAAAATTTATTCTGCCCTAGAAGTTACTTTAAATATTTTGCTGGAGAACATCAATATCCTGATCAAAAAGAAATTTAAATATTTATAATATGATTTATGTTATCATTTTATAGTTATTTTATTTCTAAGTCAATATTTCCGTATTTGATTACGCGTTATTACATATTCTTGAAAAATGATAACATAAAATAAAATAATTATGTTTTATGGTATCATATTCTACATTTAATTTATTTATACGTATTTGATTATGCGATATTACATAATTACCATAAAATAAAATAAATAAGACTTTTTTGTGGAAATTCTTTTTTCTTCGTATCGTCAAGAGATCGTTTAAAGTTGAAATATCCAGGTGATTATTGTTTTGTACAGATTCCTATTTTTTATCGTTCAGAACCCTGGTAATTATAAACTTTAACTATTCAGATTATTGGGATCGAGATCCTTGCACCTGGAGTAAATTAAATGATTGGGACATACTGTATACTGGATCGGAAAGCAACCACTTTCTTCATCAATTACTAAATAATCTTCACACTCTACCTTGGCTGACGAGTTAAAAAGCTTAAGGCAAATATACACTCACACACATTCTGCTTATAATATCATAGAAAATTTTCAGAAAGAAATAAAGGAAAGTATAATTGTTGAAAAATTTATGCACAGGTGCCAGTGTACTTTGTGACTAATCCGACATCCGAGCGTTGTTATGGTTTTTCCGCGTGTAAACCTGGGTAGCACCGTGTGTGCGTGGTCATGGAAGCATTGGGCTTGTCTGAGTGTCCAGATAAGGAATGTTCTCTTGAGTTAAGCCTGAAGTCCGAGTGTCCGTGGCTCTTGTGAACTTTCTTCCCTTCATTATTTAATATTATTTAATCTGAAACATATTGTCGAATAATATTATATAATCATAGATTTATTGATGATTAATTTTTTTTTTTCAAGCAGGAAAGTACCAATGACGTATAAAACAGGGAAACAAATTTCATCATTAAAAGTAGAATCTGATCTTATTGACTTGGAGCACGAAATATTACCTGTAGAAGCTGATTTGACGTCAAAATCTCTCAAATATTACCTTTAGAAGATGGTTTGACATCAAAATGCTTTAACGGAATCGTTTGCTGAGTTGAGAAAGAAAGGAAGGGGGTTATTATTTGGATAGACCCACTTCATCCCTAATTTAGAGGATCTCAATGTTCGTGCGATCCTTTCTCGTTTCGGAAAAACATTATTACTCTCTACTTTGTCCTCTTACTATGATATAAAAAGCAATGAACGATTTGAACAACTTTTTTGCGATTTAAATATTGGGAAAAATCCTATAAAATCAGCATTGTCATTTATTGCTCTGAAATTCAATTTCTCTGGACTTCACACTAATGAAAACCATTCTCAAGTATATCTTTTCAAAATTACAAGCAATGAATGTGTTATAAGTTTTAATCCTCCTGTATCTATTACAAGTACAAGTACTCTAACTACATAAATCATCAAAAGATTTAGCGACTGAACTTGGATTAGGAATAAGTATAGTTATTGTGATTTCTGTTATAGTTTTTATTTTATGTAGAAAAAAGGAATTCTTGAAATACCTGGAGATCGGTAATTTCTCATTGGAATTCACGTATTCATAAATTAAAAAGATTTTATATAACTTGCACCTTTTATTATTAAATCATATTTTTCAATTAATGAAAGTATTTCAATGATGCTAATCTGAAAAAGAACAAGCTTTTTATAATTAAATTGGCCGAATCATATGTTAATGTTAAAGTGATGTATTATTCATTTATAAACGGATAAAGAAAATTTGAATAAAATCAAAAAATAATATTAACTTTCAAAGTATTAGATGTAAACAATTAAATTTTTAATTAATGGTCAAATTCATTTGATAATTTATTAATATTAACTAAGGATGTATTTATTAAAAGTAAGATCTTTATTTTTTTTAGATTAATTACCTAAATGGATTCACGAAAATAGATAGTAATTTATATTAAAAATAATTTTGATTTTACAACAAATATTGTAAATATAAAATGAATAAACTAATAATTAGAATAGTTTCCATTTTTTAACGAAGAAATCAAATAATTATAATAATAATTTTTTGTTGCCTCTAATAAAATTATCAATTTATTTCTGTAGAGCGATTGCAAGGTCATCTCTTGAAGAACCATGAAATATAATGCTTTTAAATATAAAACTAAAATAAAATTATATTATTGTATTACAAGAGTTATCAAATGTAAATTTTAAATTGGTTTAAATTTTTTATATTTATTTTTTTTTTTGCAATTCACTTTGGATTTACTTTAAATATGTTGGATAATATATTTTTATATTATGTTATAATAAATTTTTATTGTTTTAAGACAAGGAGACGTTTAATGGAATGAATTACAATGACTCCACACTATGATTATGGTATGGATTCTTTAAATCATTTAATGTCTGTTAGGAAAAAAATCTATGACTAAATAAAATTTACAATAAATTAATATTATAATCTTAATAAAAATAATTCGTGAGAAATACTTAATGGCTCAAAAATAATTTATAATTTATTTTTTTACTTTTTTATTCTGCACATGTTAAAAGTTTTAAGAGTTGTTAAATGTTTTCAATAAAGCATATTCAAAAATTTTTTTTCCTTCTCTTTGACATTACTTCAAAAAAAAAAAATCTATGCTTAAATAAAAAATTGATTCGATCAATTCAAAATTTCATTGCCTTCTCAGAGATCTCAGCTGGTTCATGCATCAATATAATTATATTAAATTATTCGTAATTTCTTTCAAAAATTTTATCTAATACAGGCAATATTGAAAATGTATTAATTGCTAAAAATTTGGTTGGGTCTCAATTATGGGGATATTATAAGATAAACAAATGGAATAATTACCAGTTCAAGGTAAAGATATTGTTTTAAAATAATAATTCTTATTTCATTATGTCATATATGCTCTAGTACTATTTTTGTTATCATTTAATTGCTATTATAATGAATTAATTTTATATAATTATTTTGTTCAAAAACTAATGTGTATTTGAATAATTTTTTGGTAATTTCACATATATTAACATTATTGAAGAAATAATTGGCCAATAAACAATAAATAATATATTGAATTTTTATTGTAGACTTTTAGATCTCTATACAAGAGAAAAGCTTTGTAAATTATTGAAGTATAAATAAATAAGATATTATTATTCAAAAAATATCACATTTTTAGCCATTTCTCTATTTCTTATAATTATATGAATATTTGTATATTTAAATTAATCAAATTTGATTGTATCTATTAATTTTGCAATGCAATCTGCTTTTTGATATTTTTTTTTTTTGCGTTTGTTTTATAAATATATTGAAATAAAAAATAAGAGAATTTCTTTTTTAAGTCATATTTATTTTTAAGTCCTTTTTCTTTTAATGCGTGTTATTTAAAATTATCAATGAAATAATGATGCATAAAGTTATACAAAATGATCTTAATTTTGAGACTTCTAGAGTATATTTTGTAAGAAAGTTTCAATACTTTTACCAAATAATGGTAATCTTGGTATATATGTGTTATTATTTTTTTTTTTATTAATTTTCTATTCAATAAACTTTCTTGATAACTTTTAATGAGATATTTCGTAATGGGATATCTAATACTTGTTAATCTAAATATTCCAGATTTGTAATATGTTTTTGTACTAATCTTTGTGTACATTAAACTAAATATTTAATTTAACATTTCCATGACCTACTACAATATGCCATTCCTTCATAATATATCAAAAGCTATGTTGTGCTTTTGTAGTTTTGATTTTTTTTTCATTATCCTAAGTTTCATTATTATAAACATATTCTATTATTTATCATGTATAATTTTCTCGCAAATCAAAATAACAATAAGAAAAATTTTCCACATCACTGTAATCTATTTTACTTGGAAACTTTTAATTAAGAAATGCTGAATGAAATTCTGTTTTTCAACTACTCTTTTTAATAAAAAAAAATAATTCTTCTGTGGTGGCTTTTGCAAAATTTATATTACATATATCAGAGTTAAAAATATGTTGTGTTGTCTGTTGCTATTCACATAATCTATAAAAAAGATTTTGATGATTGACTGGTCAGCAAATTCTAACAACCACTCCCAACACTCACCCAATAATAATCATCTTTAAAATAACTAATAACTTTAGAAAAAGAAATAGAATTGTATGGATTGGCAGCCTTGTCTAATTGTAACACTATAATAAGCTTTATTTTGTATCAATATATTTTATCACTTTCATCGATATTAATTTTAATTGAATAAGAACAATCGAATATTCTGCTACATATTATCGATTATTGAGTTTAGCTGCTTTCTCAAATAACTTATATTTATTAAATTTTTAATTATTCCTTTATATTTATTGTTATTCTATATTGTTGTTTAATGAGAAATATGTGCATAATAAATTTTTATTTTATTTATCTGAGTTTCCAATATGAAAATCGATTAGGTATAAGCTATCTGTTTTACATTATATATTAAAATATGATGATGAAATCATTTTTTTTTTGATTTTCTCTGAATGGGCTTTCTGTCAAATGTAAACTATTAATTAAATTATCTTTAAGGAAATTTTGAGTTTTATTTTTATTTGTTGAAATTTTATATTTTGTATAATTTTATTTTGTAGTTATTTTATTTATTTTTATAATATTAAAAGAAAATTTTTTTTCAGCCTTAAACTTCTTTCCTTAAATATTTTGCTGAAATATTTATGATATCATATCTAATTTATTCCTACGTCAGTATTTCAGTATTTGATTATGCCATATTACATCAATTCTTTTTTGTTTTAAATAAAGTCTATCCTAAACCAAAAACCTTTTTTTTTTCTAAATTAATTATAATAAAAATATAATAAAGAGATTATACATAATTAGAATAAGTTAGATTTGGATAAGGTGAATTACAATAGTAAAAATATATAGATAGATAGTTTGAACAGACAAAAAAATTTTTAAATCTAAATAAAATATATCATGAAGATAAAAATTTATCGGGTTTGACAAATTGAAAATGATGTGAAATCAGACCATAAAATTAATAAATAAGACTTTTTTACAACAAAGAAAAAACACAGACATACGAAATTAATATATATAGTTTCAAATAAAATAAAATAAAAATAAAATAAATTTGTCGTTTTCATCAAAAAATTAATCTTAAATTTTTTACATATTTATAAGATTCTACCATTGAAATTGTTTCTAATGTATTTTTAATTAAGATATTATATACCACAAACTAATATTTTCCCATATTTAAGTTATCTCAAACTTCAATTCTGAAGAGGATAAAAGATTTATATTGTAAAAATTATTTAAATTCATATAATTTCTTCAAATTTTTATATTAGGAGTCATCTTAATGTAAAGCAAAGAGTATTGGAAAACATTTAATATTGTAAAAGCATGGTGAATAGGAATTTTATCAGAAAAATTTTACTCAAACTTTCTCTCAAATGGGAAAATCAAAGTCTCTGTTTGATTGACTTGAGTGATGAAGTCAATGTCCCATTCAGTCTTTTTGTCTATTAATAATACATTTTTTGATAGATATAATCTTAAGTGTATGTCTTTCCCTCTTGAAAAATGAATTCAGATAACAACAAGAAGCCAAACTCATTTTCTAGTCATTATTACTACCAATACCAATACAATCAACATACAAATAGGTTGAATTAATTTTTACTGATAACATTCAATAAAAATTATCCAAACTTCATTATTATTAAAATTTATTATAAAAAGTCTTTATATTACTTGTAATCACAAATTTTAATTAGATAACAGATAATATATTAGTCAATCTAAATTTTATAATGTAATGTGCAATAAAAGATTTGCAATATATTCAAAAAAAGATAGGAATGAATAAATTAAGTGGATATTAAAGTCTAAGAAATAAATTATTTTTATTTAATGAAAAAAATATGAGATATAGAAAAATTATAGTCTGAAGTAATTTATTATATTTAGACAAATTTCTTTTTAAAATATAATATATGCAACAAAAGAAATTTATT